ATAGCATTCCGAAGAGTTGGATTTACGTATTATTGAGATACTGGTCTCTTCTGCACGCTATATCTCTGCAATACAGCGGCTGATCGGCGTGCGGCATGTCTTTTCGGGATGGGGCGAGTCCTGCCAATCGACTGCAATCCTGGGAGAGTAGGTCCTCCCCCGATCTGGCCCTATTTGACTGAAATATAGCATTCCGAAGAGTTGGATTTGCGTATCTTTGAGATACTGGTCTCTTCTGCACGCTATATCTCTGCAATACAGCGGCCGATCGGCGTGCGGCATGTCTTTTCGGGATGGGGCGAGTCCTGCCAATCGACTGTCATCGGAAAAAAGGACATCCATTTCATCGCGATTTTCGCAAAAAATCATGATGGTTACATCATTAAAATTGCCAAAAATCGGCCTCATTTTCGAGGCCGAGATTTTGATGCCGATCGACAGTCTGGACGATCACGATCCTGGGAGAGTAGGTCCTCCCCCGATCTGGCCCTATTTGACTGAAATATAGCATTCCGAAGAGTTGGATTTACGTATTATTGAGATACTGGTCTCTTCTGCACGCTATATCTCTGCAATACAGCGGCTGATCGGCGTGCGGCATGTCTTTTCGGGATGGGGCGAGTCCTGCCAATCGACTGCAATCCTGGGAGAGTAGGTCCTCCCCCGATCTGGCCCTATTTGACTGAAATATAGCATTCCGAAGAGTTGGATTTGCGTATCTTTGAGATACTGGTCTCTTCTGCACGCTATATCTCTGCAATACAGCGGCTGATCGGCGTGCGGCATGTCTTTTCGGGATGGGGCGAGTCCTGCCAATCGACTGCAATCCTGGGAGAGTAGGTCCTCCCCCGATCTGGCCCTATTTGACTGAAATATAGCATTCCGAAGAGTTGGATTTGCGTATCTTTGAAATACTGGTCTCTTCTGCACGCTATATCTCGGCAATACAGCGGCCGATCGGCGTGCGGCATGTCTTTTCGGGATGGGGCGAGTCCTGCCAATCGACTGCAATCCTGGGAGAGTAGGTCCTCCCCCGATCTGGCCCTATTTGACTGAAATATAGCATTCCGAAGAGTTGGATTTGCGTATCTTTGAGATACTGGTCTCTTCTGCACGCTATATCTCTGCAATACAGCGGCTGATCGGCGTGCGGCATGTCTTTTCGGGATGGGGCGAGTCCTGCCAATCGACTGCAATCCTGGGAGAGTAGGTCCTCCCCCGATCTGGCCCTATTTGACTGAAATATAGCATTCCGAAGAGTTGGATTTGCGTATCTTTGAAATACCGGTCTCTTCTGCTTCTTCTCGTCTCTCTTCTTCTACTGGTCTTGTCTGAGATGTAGCCTTGCGAAAGTTTGATTGTATACTGATTCACTAATGCTTTTGGAAACTGTAGCCCATCGTTTGATTCGGCGGCGTATGAATGGGCATAGTGGCGAGCTCATGACGGCGCGACGATAGCCGAACGCCAGAGCCGAAGAGCCTGGGATCTAATCTTGTCGTACATTCCCCAAAGTGTTCTTTCTACGAGATCTTGCATTAGTGGAAGGCATCTTGGTTTTTGTTAACTCCAAAAGTATGCTGTGCTTTAAAATTCAGGTTTGCTTTGTGGTTAAAAGTATGCAACAATAAGTTGAATTCATCAAAAGTAACTTTCTGGCAGCTTAATCAAAAATATTCATCCTGTTTCCATACCATTTTTTAATTTGAAAAAGCTCACTCTTCAGCTTTTGGAAACGATTTTCAATGATGTGGCAAAGCTCCGTCAGAGATGGACTAAAATGTAAGGTGCTAAAAATTAGTACAATAAGCTTATTGCTATTATTACGAGAAAAAGGTGGAGCCAAGATACAATGTTGAGCTTAAGGAAGTCGTTAGAATTTCAAACAATTTTCTCGTAATTGAACCTTTCTTTTAATCTAAATGCTTAAGCGTATCCTTGAAGCTTTTCGTAATATATTTCGACGTTGATATGCAATGACGACACCAAGCTGAAGACTGTTACGCTCGGATCCCAGATGGAAGAGCAGCCGTTCGGTTGGTACCTGCAGGAAAGGTTGATATTAGACCAATATATTTGAGGAAAATAGGAACTAAACATGCATTCAAAACGCAGATACTCCTAATACTAAAAGAGGAGGAGGAGGGGATTTAGTAGTAGTTATGGTAATATGGTAGAATGAACTATAATCCGTGCATTAGATGCTATATGGTTCATGCAAGGAATAATTCAATCTGCAAAACGGAATGGACAACGGATCTAATAGGAATAATACAAATTGTAAAGAGTTACATATAGCAAATTATACATCCACACTTATATATAAGCCTGTGTTACTGCACCATTCATCATCGCTGTGCCGTGCCTGCAAAAAATACATTTAAAAAATAACCACATTGCAATTATTTTTCAATTATATGGACTTGCCAATGTGGTCGGGTACTCTGCGAGGGCCAGCCAGACTGCCAGCCACGTCCTTGCCAAAATATTATAACACGTTTTCACCTGGAATGGCAGACAAAATGTATACTATTTATAAGTACTCGTAGAACGGGTATATGTAGTGCTTATATCTACTTAGATACTTATTTTTAGTGCCAGCTGAGCGGAGCGGAGCAGAGTAAAATAGCTGTGATGACCTTACATGCATAAATATTTCAACCGACTTCTGCCGCTGCTTTGGTTGTTGCCATTTTCAAGAGCAAGGCGAGCCGTGGCAAGGTCTTTGCTGCTGCTGCAGCTGCTGCTCCTGCTACTGCTACTGCTACCATTGCCACAAGCGAAAACTATTCGCAGACTCGTGTAAGGACAAAAGTTATGCGTCCCGCCGCACCGCACGCAGCCTCCCCTTTCTATTCATCTGGTCAACAGGTTGAAAATGAGAACATTTCTAAAAGTTTCAGAAAGTTGCCAAAACGAAAAATTAGAGCCCCTCTCTTAGGGCACTCGTGGCCATGGAAATTCAATTAGTAGAGCAGGCGCTAATTAATCTCAAATTGAAAGCTTTCCACTTGTTGAGAAAGGGTTTTCGAAAATGCCAAAACCATTGTCCAGGCCTTGTCTGGCCTCTGCCTCTGCCTGTGCTTATGCCACCGCCACCGCCAATGCCACTACCACTGCTATATGCTCACACATGCCTCACGTGCCAAAAAGCTCTGCACGTGTACTGCCGACCACGCTGCAGCGGCATAAGGTGGCAGGAGACGCACACGGACTGGCGAAAGCTTTCACTGCCAATAGCAACAGCGTGCCCAAACACGAGCTCTACGAGCTTTGGCCGACTCCAACGGGCAGCATGGACAACAGTTTGTTGCTCAAACTGTTCCCGAACGGACGTTCCCTCAGAACCGTTCGGAACACCCCAGAGAGTGGAGTGCATCATAGTTCTGTTTCTGTTTCATATTCGGATTTAGATTCGGATACGGATAGTAGTAGTTTCCCCTCCATCCAACTGCGTGACGGGAAACGTACAAACGGGAGTTGGCAAATCCGCTGGCAACTGGCAACTCCAGCCCGAAGGAAACAGACCGCCGAAGAGTGGAGTGTGGAGTGGAGTTCATCGGATTTTTTTTGTGTGTTCCGTGTCCTGTGGAGTAAAGTAAAGTTCTAGTTTAGTTCCCAGTCTTTTTTTTTTAGTTTTTATGTACAGTGTGTGTTTGGGTGTCTAAATATTTAAATACGAAAATGAAAAAATCAAACAAAAAACAACAAAAAGCGCCAGAAATGTGAGGAAAGGAGAGTGCTACCTTAGGGCTAGGCTAGGACCAAGTGTCTTTGGGGAGGCAAAATCAGCTGCCAAGTCTGGACATGTTAACACAGGCGGGAGTTTACACTTGGAACATGCAAAGCCAACATTAGATGTGTCTAGATGGGTAAGTGACTTGAAATTCCAGGCCACGAGGACCGACCACATGACCAGCAGATTAGGTCCGTTAAAGGTCCTAAGTTATTTGGAAGTTACTTGTACATTAATTTCCACATTCGACATATCCTGAGAGACAGTCATTCAGCACAGGCATTGCAGACACCAGTAATTAACATGGAAATTTCACTCAGAGTCAGCAAATGTGTTGTGGTCAGGAGTTTATTACTAAACCAACAGTAAAGGCTGACATTTCCCTGCTCTGTAGACTAAAGGAATATTCAAGAGAATTCTTTGAAAGGTTTCAGGATTTAAGGGAAAACCGACAATCGCAAAAAGTGTACAAGGAGAACGTTAACCATTTAAAGAATTAGCCATAATTCATGTCTTGGGTATTCTCTGATTGAATTAACATATGTATATATGTACATAATATATATACGTACGAGTACATGTCACAAGCATAATCAGCATTGTTTCTGGCTGGGAAGCCATCAAAAAAGTTATAACAAACAATAAAAACCATTTGACTCTAAGCTTTCTTTGACAGCGTTGCTTTAGAAATTCTATGGCCATGTTGGTACGACTCCTCCAAGGCCATCCGCCATCCACCATTCACACAGCGTTCTGTCAAGAATTTGGCTGTAGTCTGTAGTCTGTAGTCTGTAGTCGGTAGTCGGTAGTCCATCCAGTCCTGTTTTTGGAAGTAGCCAAAGGCTAGAACTGCCTGCCAAGGCTATCTGCATTTCAAATGACCAACGCAACAATGAAGGCTGAGAATCAACAAAAGAGGAGTGCCACACTAGAGAGGAACGACACAAAAAAACAACATCACCAGAGACAGAGAACAGAGAACAGCACAGAGAATTGTCGCATGCGGAACTCAAAGAGCCCTGCCTGACATGGGACATGGGACATGGGACAGGGGACAGGGGAGTGGGTGGCACAGTGGCTACTTAAAAACAGCGCACATATGACGTCATTAAGCATATTAAATGAGTTTACAATGCGTTGTTTGCTGGCGTTTGCTGTCGTTTTCTGGCGTTGTTGCATGCCTCGCACACACACAGACACACAAACACACACACACAGTGGATGAGTGTACTCGTAGATGAGGCGCAAAACGGTAAAAGGCCATTAACGAACGCCTAATGGCGCACTTGAGACACTGTGCCACTGTGTGCCACCAAAGGGGCGTGGCACGGGCATAGGGTTAGGCCAAAACGGATAATGAGAATGGATCTGTCCGGGCAAGCGGAGGTTGCTCGGTTGGCCTTAAACGGCCAAGCGGGGGACGGGAACAGTACTCGGTAGCATCCCATCCCCCAGTCCCCCAGTCACTCTCTCACACTTTCTCTAGTTTTTTGTGCGCTGAAATGAAATTGAAATATTAAATATTTATCCAATTCAAGGAAGAAATCACATCATCCGTGTCCGTGCTTCTGATGTGTCGCGGAAAAGCCTAATGCATATATGAAATGATCAACCGAAGGGCAATTTATCAGCATCCCAGAAGTGTGCTCAGAAAAGTGTAAAAAAAAGATACAAGATACGACAAGCGAAACAAAGGAAAAACGCCAACCCAACTAACAACCCGACAACAGCAATAACAATTTGTCAAGCACACACACAACATACACACACCCATACATGCAGGCACACACACACACACACACACGTGCACGTACACATAAAACCTAAAAATATATCCCACGCGTTTAAAAACGCCTCAGCCTTTCAGGATACGGAATTAACGAGATGGCAGCCAAGCCAATGGAGATGCACCTGGAGCTGGACCTCATGGAGAATCATGTCAAATGGTGAGTCGCCCATTAATTGCCACCGACCGACCCTGGCAGTGGAGCGCAGCACGTGACGCGGCGCACTACTACTACTCGTATTTGGTACAGATATATCCCCCGAACCAATCAATATTATCGAGTTAGCCCCCCGAAAAGAATGGCAATGCGAGAGTACCAGTGAGATTGCGACTGTGAGGGCGATTGCTACTGTGAGTGTTAGTGAGTGAGTGAGTGTTGTCTGAAAAGCACGTGGATTTCATAAAATATGCAGAGCAATACATATTTGAACAGCAAGGAGGCAAAGAGGCAAGAGGGGAAGTGCAGAACCATAGCCAGAGAACCAGAGAGCCAGAGGCGGATCCAGGACCAGAGCCAGCTTATCCAAGCAAAAGATGAGCATGTCGATGCTAGCGGCCATTGCTTTTGTTTTTTACCTGTCCACATATACATATATATATAGGTATATATATATATACTGTGTATATACTGCTGTGCTTGTGTGCTAGTGTATCAGTGGCATATATTTTACATGACATTATGTGCCCGCTAAAGATTCTTTTTGGTCTTGCCCCATAAAAAAAGCTCTTTATATGGCCAGAAGTAGCTCCAGAAGCAACTGTTCCATCAGCTGCATGTGTGTGTGCGTGTCTGTGCCAAGATAATGAAATTATAATCCGTATTACTGGCTAACAAGCATCAACTAAATGGCGGATTAGCTGGGAGTGCTGTTTGATGAACTAAATGAAGTTGTGCGGGAAATCAAGCGCCAGATTATTCAAAATTTATCGCTTAACTGCTGAGCCGTGGGGAGATTCAGCTCGATGCTCTGAAGGTTGTGTGATTCTTGCAGTTTAATTCAATCAGTTTAAAGCATCATTCAATAGATAATATTTTTTGCGCAAGTTTTTGCTGAATGTCCTAGTCATTTTTAATTACCGGCAACTTCAACAACGGATAATCCCTCTGGACTTCAAATGGCTTTTGTAATTTTTTGAGCTCTTAAGTACCTTGGATGGCAAACTCATTAAACCCTAGTGGATTAAAGGGTTCAATAATGGTATTTTAATTACCCTATTATCCATAAATTAAGTAGCGTTTCCAGCATTCAATCAGAAGCTAGCTGGAAAAGGCAACGTCCGAATACCCTTTCTGCTCCTTCCTGAGTCCCCGTATCTTGTTGTACAGAATGTATTTTGTTTGATTTTAGTAATTTTTGTTTGCCGAGCTCTGATCTGTCCACCTGTGCCAGCCGACGGTACATCCTTGAACTTCTCCTCTGGTGCCTGCTCCATTTATCATACAAAATACACCCATGTGCATGCAGATATGTACCTACATAAGTTTTATAAAAACTAATTAGGTTTGTGTAATGCAAATATAGTTCGGTAATTGCCACCTTTTCGTGCCACCTAACCAAAGAATGCAATTAAATAACTTTTTCAAACGTATGGCGTATAAATGTTCAGAAAGTTGTGCAACAAACGTGAAAACATACAATGCTAAGTGAATTATAATGTAATAGTTATAGAATGTACACAATATATACACAAATATCTATAGGAATAGGCAGCGCTTAGGCACTTGTTTAATCTCATTGAAACGGGATACTTACCATGATACTTTTGCTATCTTTGGATGGGGATATTTATGCAAATCTTATAGCCACTCAAATCAGCGACAAAAACAGATAAATATTTACATTCAACAGATTTCATTTGAATACATATTCCAATTCTGCCAGCCGTAGATCCGGCTCTGCCTCAGCCTTTATTGTGCCACATGCCACATGCCATTGTCCCTCCACACAGATACTCGTAGGCAGAGCAGAGCAGATGGCAGACGGCAGAGCGCAGAGAACGTTGTGGATGGGAAATGTGATATCAAAACAAGCCGATTGTGTGGCATTCTACCTCAGAATTTAGCCAAAAATAGCTGCAGGCATAAATAGCAAGAGCCGCAGAAAAGAATACTCCCTCGTACAAGGGGCTTTTGTGCGGGCCATGGAGTTGTAATTAAAAGGAAATCCATATTCATTCCGAGTAGGCAGCCACAGCCGCAGCCGCAGCCAGTCGGTGGCAGGAAGCGTGTCATGCACGAGGCAGCAACAGCGACGGGACGTGGCAGGTCCCATTCCAGCGCGGCATGGTGGCATGTCTCTTTGTGTGTTTGTCAGGCTGCATGGAACGACACTGAAGAATGCTGACAGGAGCATTCCTGGTCGCCGTGCTCGCTGCTACTCGCCCAGCGATGGGTAATCCCTGCCTCACTCTGTGGCGGCGCACCGCCTGAAGAAGCTTCTGGCTAAGTCACGCTCTCATCTCTAATGCGACCGGCTTGCATATTTGTTTCCAGTCCAAAGCATCGAGGTTCTGCTAGGGTCTGGGGCTGGGGCTGGGGCTGGGGCAGGGGCTGGTGTTGGGGTTGGGTCCTGGGGTCTGGTTGTCGGCCTATTTTGCGGCCGCTGCTTTGCATGTTGCAAACAATTTGCCGCTCGAGCTTGCCAGGTCCATGTCCAGGCCGGAGCGGATCAGCCCGCGACTGACTGCCATTTAGTGGCCCAGTGCCACAGTGCCGTAGTGCCACATAGCGGCAAAAATGTTCGTGCGACTAATTTGTGAAAAAAGAAGGAAAATCCCACAACCCACAACAGCAAAAACGGCAACAGCAGCGACAGCCCCGCTGCCACGAGACGTTAAAATCAACGGTCCGTGGCCATTAGAACGGGGCCAGACCAGGCCAGGCCAGGCCGGGCAAAATGGGTGAAAACAAAAATGTTATAAGCGCAGCTACTCCACGCTCTCCGCGCTCTCCTGGTTAATGAGAAATAATCACAACAGCAAAAAATACAAGCTTAACAACGGAAAAAGAGGCGAAACAAACAGCGGCACATTTAATGCCGCGGTCCGGGCGTGTCATTCCCTCTTAAAAAAAAGTACGAGAGAAACGGAAAAGTAAGGAGAACTTCTGCGACAATCGGTAAACACACAAAGCTAATAAAATTTGTAAAATATTCAACAATTGGCAAAGCTTTTAAGAGTCTTACAGGCGCCCCTGATATTGAAATGTAAACCTCGCAATTTTCCTCCCAGTGCCAGTGCCAGTCCCAGTCCCGGTCCTGCCCTGCCCCAAAAAATATGCTACACATAACGCCACAAACAGAAAGAATATGTTGGTGGGATTGGGGTTGGGGCTGGAACCAGGGGGTAGGTAGGTAGCCATAAGTGGCTCCAGCTGTATGAAAAGAATGAAAAGAAATGAATTTGATTGTGTTGTGGGGGCTGGGGTCTTAAAAGGTTTCCCGAAACTTAAAGCTGACATGGCATATCCGCTTTGAACGGATCAAATGCGATTAAGCAGAGCAGTTTAAAGGGAAACATTTTACATAAATACACACGATATGCGAGTATATGTGCAGGAAATCGAATTAGCGGAAAAATCAAGTCAAATTACAGTGTAATCAGATTGTAATTAGATTGTCATTGATGCTGATAGAAATGCCATGAAGCCATGAAGCCATAAAGCCGTAAAAACGAGTTTAATTGTATCGACATTTAGGGGGAATAGGTTTTGGTAATCGCATTAGCGGCACAGGATAATCCAACGGTAGAATGATGAAAATCCCACCGATTGGGATCCTCAGACACCTCTGTATTTAATACAGGATGCGTCTACTGATGCTCCTCTTAAATATTCATTTGCCATCAACCAGGGCAACATCCTCACCTACTTAGCCCCAAACCATTTATTATCCATCCTATTTATGAAGGCCGCTATCAAAGTAGTCTCATTTATAAATAGCCGACGCTTGAAGCCTTCTCAACTCAACTCTTCTCTTCTCTCTTATTCTATTCTGTTCTGTTCAGTGCGACTTAGCCATGGCTATATGGCCATAAATTACGCAAAACAGCTCGCCTCCACATAACACCCCCACAGACAAGTAGCACACACACACACACTCGTACAGGGGGGATGTGCTACTGGTGGCTTTAGGTAATTCCCCGCTTTTATAATGAGCACAAGAGAATAACCGACACACAAAGAAGACCAGCCCAAGAAGCAGCTGTAGCAGTCGAGACTTCCGCCGGAAGCAGCTCCTGCCAGAGAGAGCGTGCATAAAATTATGATCTAGCCATAGCCAAATGGTAAATTAATTGAAATGAATGTCTGGTCGGTGGGGAAGGCATGGAAGGCCAGGGCAGGGCAGGGGCTGTGGCGCAACAAACTTTTTGTGGCAAATGCAAAGCTAATAAAAACAAACAAACAAACAAAACCCAACAAAACTTAAACATTTCAATTATGTCGCTGCGGCGGACAAAAAAACTTTTTTGTTTTGTTCTAATTAAGGCTCAATGGCTGCTTAGGGGAGCCACAGCCACAGCAACAGCCGCAGACTGAGCCGGAGCCAAAGCCGTGCTCCAGTAATTAGCTGGCAAAAGAGTCTGAACAAGGCCAGAAACTGGAAAACAAATGAGCCGACGATGATGGGCCACAACGGGGGAATGGGGTGACAGCAGTGAGGGGACGTACATCCGCAGAGCAGGAGCACAACAGGAGGCAGGGAACAATGGCAGCAGGCCATTTCCGGTTTGCTCATGTGTGCCGTCGTTACCCGTCGCCAGGGGGCGCTCGAGTGCTTCCTCTTCCCCTTCTACCCCTCGCCACTTCACCAGCAATTGTGTTTGTGCTTGTGTGTGGGTGGTGCCTGCCACTGCTGGTGCTGTTGCAGCAACAGTTTGTTGCTTTGTTTGCCCGTTTGTTTGTCGTTTGCCAATACAACGACAGCAGCAACGACACGCTTATAAATTTGTAATTAAATTGTTGTTTTCCAGTTAGTGTTTTTAGTTCCTTTTCCTTTTTCTTTATCTAGTTGTTGTGCCGCCACCGACACGGGTGGCAAAACGCATTGATTGTTTCTGTGTAGCCTGATCCTGTGTGTGTGAGTATCCTTTGTTCGAGAATGGGCTTTCCATATACGAGTAGCCGAGTAGCCTTTGCAATTGTCTATCCTATCCAGGGCAAATTGAGTTGTTTAACTTGCAATTGATCCGGACCAAGGGATTAAGTGGGGAAACACAGGCTTTGTTCCCTTCGAAGGGCTTCGGTAGGAGGAAGCACAATTTTAGCTTAACCCCCAGTGGAGGTCAATCTAGGAAGTACCTTTGACAGGATGTGACTTTTGCTTAACCCACAGTTGGATTAATGATTGTTTGTATACGATTTGTATCTGTTGAAGGGACCTTTCTTATCGTTTGAAAGCTGTCCCTTCATTCCTTCATTAGGCATCCCTCTACCTGCCTAATTTGTGATTCTTTTATGAAACGCCTATTCTTTAGCATAACCGACTCGTAAAAAGTGTCCCACTTATGTCTAGACCATTAATAACCTATTTATTCTGTATTTCCTATCAGGGGGCTCAGAAAAATCCAACCCGAAACACCCATTGGGACTATTTACCTGTCTCGATCCCCCCTTTTCGAAGGGTTTTTCTTCCCCTTCGTTTTTCCTATGACAAATTAACTTATTTAGTTGCCGGCAGCAGGCGGACCGTCATACGAAATAATTTATCAAATTCGTGTATAAATTATTGATGATCCGACCAGAGCCAACAGAGCCAACGGAGCCAACAGAACCTACAGAGCCACGGGGCTTACTCGGTGGAGAATGGGACACATGAGTACTCCCATACACACACTCACACAAAGGTGCTTGGAGGTGCTCTGCTGTCAGAGGCGTAGGCGCTATGGCAAATACCAATCACAGGCACATTCTCAGCGCCGCTCGTGTTGGCGGGAGGGGATTGCTAATCAGGACATAGAGTGGTCCGAGTCATAGCTGGAAATCGGGGCCATATGATAAATGACAGTGCAGGCAAGGGGCGGCACTAGGCCTCACAAAATTAGCATAATTTCTCTTTTTTAATTGCCTGCCCCCTTCCGAACAAAGTGAGCACTGAAAACAAATTTCATTTGAATATTCATAGGAACATCCAAATGTACATCCAAATTCGCTTTGTTCGAACTGCAGATTCCAGTTTGTATTGTGGATAAATAGCTGCCACATTTCGAAGTTCAATCAACAATTCCTCTCACGTGTGGTAAGTGTGCTCCAACTATTTCTCTCTGTGCAGCGAGACCAAGGAGTAGTTGCCACCTCTGGTGTTGGTTAGTTTTGTTTGCGATGGTGTTGGTGTTGGTGTTGGTGCGGCGACAGCGGTGGCGGTGGCGGGGGCGGTGGCAGGGGCAGCTCCTGTGGTGCCGATCCTGGTGCCGGTGCCGGTAGCCGTTTGTCGTTCCTAGTGCTGGGTAATTTTGCATGCAAATAACTGGAAATTAGTGTAAGTGCTCACTGACATGCCACACAGCCAGCTGAACTGCTTCTGCCACGGCTTGGTCCTTGGTCCTTGCTCTCAGATAGCTGATAGCATAAGAGGCAGCAGGCAGGAGCACAGACGAGGAGCTAACCGAAGCCCAGACGAAGCGAAACCCCGACAGCAGCCAATGGCAGCAATGGGAGATAAACAGACGATGGCAGAATAAAGTGGCAAACGCTTAGCCAAACAGCTGTGTGTGTGTGCTCTCTCGCTGCATGTGGGGGCGTAGCATGGCAGTATATCTGAGTGTCTGCGGCTGCTGCTCGTGCCACAGCCACTGGAACTTCAACGCTTTAAAAACCCATTAAAATGCAATGAGCGCACAAACGTTTTATGCCACGAGCCGGGGCTGAGCGGAGCTGAGCGCTGGTTAAGCTTAGATTTCAAATTTCAGTGGCTTCCACTTGTAGGTATACTCAAAGAGTAGACTCAGAAGTAGGACGATAAGACTTGATAGCCCACATTCAACTAGCAGTTAGAGATTGATTTGATTTTGATAGATTTTTCTAACACATCCATCAGTTTACAGAGAGCCTAAGAACCTCTTGCTGAAGATTGAAAGATGCAATAAAGACTCTCAGTAGCGGAACTACTTTAAGCCAACGATAATCCAATAAATATACTCCTACAATGATATGCCAAACATCACGATCTGAGAGTTTTATAGAAGTCTAGAGATGGATTTTTCACCTTTTAGGCTCTTTTTGAAAATTTTTTTCCATTTCTTGGAAAATTAATAAGCTTCTGTCCTAATCCTCAGAAATTTAAATCCTTCCCCTTGAGGAAACTTTGAAGATGTGGCTCAGAAAGTGGCTTTGTTTAGTGCTGCCGCTACTGGTGCTATTTGGGTGCTGCATGGGCTTCCAACAACTGATTGTGAGCAAGCCCTACATGTCCTTCATTACACACCTGATCAGATTTCAGAGTCAAGACAATATCATTGTGTCGCCTGCCTCATTCCACGACGGCCTAATACACTTATTAATGGGCACAAGGGGTTCAAGTGCCGCCGAGATGATGGGAACGCTGCAGCTTAACGAACAGAAACTGAACGAGTATCTGAAGAAGAACATCTCCAGCAAATACATCTATAATTCGACTCTAAAAATGTTCAATCAGTTGTACGTGGACCGTCGAATGTGGCTGCTGGATCGGTACAAGCAGGATATAAACAGGTATTTCAATACAAAAGTCGAGCATATGAACTTCGGGAGCATAGATAACACCGTGGACACCATCAACGGATGGATAGACAAGAAAACGGGGGAGAAAGTCAAAGATATGCTGGGCTGGGTTGATCCCGAGTCACAAATGGTGCTGGTCACTGCCTTAGACTTCTATGGCGAGTGGGAGAAGCCCTTCGACCCGAACCAGACCACAAAGGAGGTCTTCGAAACTCAGCAACGAAACGGAGGAGACGACACTCCCCCATCCCTGGTGGACATGATGCACATTAAGGATAAGTTTTCCCATGGATACATAGAAAAGCTCTGTGCCTATGTGATATTCTTGCCCTACAAAAAGTCGAACCTTTCAATGGTCGTACTGCTGCCGAGAGATTCCAACGGTCTTTACTACATTACCAGAAATATCCATGAGATAGACCTGCAAGAACTTGTGCCCACTGAACCACCAGCGGAAATTGAACTCAGTTTTCCCAGATTCAAAATTGAATACAGATCGGATGTGTCGAATATCATCAAGTCCATGGGTATTCGCAAGATATTTTCGAACAACGCCAACTTCAGTGGCCTCACCCGACAGGAGGGTCTGCGCCTCAATCAGTTTATTCACAAAATTCATATCCTGGTGGACGAAGGGGCCCACAATGCGTCTGCCGCCTCGGCCTGTATGTATCTATATAGCACATTCGATTTGTATCTGTAACTAATCGTTCATTATCTTAGCTGTTCAGTTGAAAAAGAAATTGGTCAAGAGGAGCGTCGCAGCTCAAAGTTTCACAGTCAATCATCCGTTTTTCTTTCTAATCAAAGACAAGAAGAGAATATATGTGGCAGGAATTGTTAATAGAATACCATAAATATACCTTGAACAGAAATCTTTAGTTTCTTAATGCAAATTCAGGTACACAATAGTTAATATTCTCTAACTAATCAGTTTCGATATATGTTCGCTTCGCCTATTATATATCGAACTGGGCAAGCGATATGAGAAGGCCACGAATGCACAGTTCAGGATGCCCAATCGATTGTTCTTTTCAAATGTGCTGCCAGTGCGGGGGCAATCTTTAAAGTTCAGCAATCGGAAGTGGATGTTCCGGGCCGTATCAACAACTGTCGGGCCAATGAGTTTGGGGAGCCGAAAACCAATGTATTAGAGACCCAGGCACCTAGGCACCGGTACACAGGGGATTGCCATCCGTGGGATCTCGGTCAATGTCCATTGGCGTCACCGTCACCTCTTCAAGATCCTGCACATGACCCCCAGGGATCTGTGGGGGCAGAACGCGCACTCACTGTGCGTAGCCATGATGCACTCCTTGAACATTTTCGCCACAATGACCACAGACAATGCCAGGGGTATATTCATAACCTTCAATTCAAGTACCCTTCAGGACCTTCATACACGGATATGAGCATGAGCGGCTCCTGCTGACAGCAAGGATCTGAGTGCCCCCGGGACATGCACTTATTCCTGTCCATCTTTAAGGTTGAGTACGAGAAGAAATTGCTCTCCTGCATACAGGTGGTACACATCCAACCTAATCGGGCATTGAGTAAGCACGTCTCCGCCTCTGCAGTTTCGAGTATGATTTTCCCCATTTCACGTCTCCATCATTGAACATTTTCAGTTGAAATGAAACAACATCTTTCAAACATGGCATAAACGAAGAGGTGTATGATGTGAATCGGTCCTTGGTGTTTGCTGTAATGGATCGCGATACCGTTTATGTGACGGTCCGTTGAGCACTTGAATGGTTTGGCTCCAAAGGTGAATTGTTCCAGAATGTTTTCGGAATCTCTTTATCGGCCAAGAAAATGACGAAGCTGGAAACGTATGCCATTACCTTGATTCGTTAATGTGTGTCTAATATAATTGACAATCATTTTTACTTGTGTTTCGACTCTTCGTCTGTTCGTCAATGCCTTGGGCACCTAAGTCGGTCCCGGAATCCAACAACAAACGTACAGTGGATTCATGCTATATTTTTTTTTGTATATTCCAATATTTTCATCCGAAAACTGAGTCCAAGAGCATTCCGAAACCTTTGTGGTGCCTATGGTAGTAATGTTAATGTTGATTAAATTAAGCTTGATTAGAGCCAAAAACTGCTGGCACACAAAAAATGTTGTGTTATCCGAGCCATTAGCGGGGACGGTGGCGGTGGCAGTGGCAGCTCTTCAGCCCTGCAGAGCTCTACAGGTTCCTCTGATTCCCCGATGGCATTGTTTACAACGTTGCCGCGCATATTAATTGCCTGTTTAAGCAAATTAAGGCCACAAAACACCAGCATCACTGCGGGTTTCCTTCTCATTCCCCCAGTTCTTTGTGGGTTTGTTTTTTCGTTACCCTGCGGCAAACCAAACCCCACAATTACTCGCAATTTGCAGTGCAAACGAAGCCAAATGCTGACAATTGCATCACGACGAGGGTTTTGGGTCTTGCCAAACTGCAATTGCATAAATTATAAGGTCGGGGAAGTCCCGGTGCTCGGTGCTTGGTGCCCGGTGCTTGGTGCTTGGTGCCCGGTGCTTGGTGTTCGGTGCAGCACCGCAACCCGGCACTGATTTTGCCCCTAACCCGTATCCGCATCCGTATCCGTATCCGTATCCGCATACGAAACTGGCACAAAGACAGGGACGACAGACATCCTTCTCCGCACATGGCATTGCTTTCTGATTCCCAAGCATCGAAAGCATCCCATGCATCCAATAAATTATTGGTATCCTGTGGCTACCAATCCAAGACGTCGAGCAATTAACCTAGAAGTACACACCACACCATGAGCCATGACATGAGCCACGTACATTTACGGGCCTTGTACTTACAGTTGCTGCAGCAGCCGGTACATTGCTCATACGCTCCGCTGGCCACACAATCACAACCAACAACCAACAGCCAACAGCCAACAACCAACAGCCTTACATGCTCCGAGTAGTTTTTATTGGTTGCAAAATAAAAACCACTGGCGCCTACCCAGTACCCCAGTGGCCTGTAAGGGCATAAGAGCACGACTCCGGCCACGTAGAGATTATAAAATGCAACAGAGTGCAGTGGCGGCCATGTCGACAAATGACGTTAACATCGACGGCACCGACATCCACACCACATTCACATTGGCATCCACATGATGTCGGCAGCCAAGTATGCGCAAATGAAATTTGCGAAAGCCCAATGTTGGCATAACATGGAGGAGGAGGAGGAGGAGGAGGTGGACGAGGTGGAGAGCAGGTCGCACTAAAAGTGGAGGAAGGTCAAAGTGGAGAAGGCAGCCTCAAACTGAGGGAAACGGCCATGTTATACAAGTGGCCGAGAGACCAGAGCTCAAACAAAAAAGGCCAAACCAATTTCAATTAACCCCAGGCGATGGAATTCACACCTAAGAGTCCACATAGATCCTGGGACAAGGACCAACGACCACCAGCGCCAAAGCAAAACGAGTCGTGAGAAAAGTCAAATAACAAACGAATCGGCAAAGTTTGATGAGAACAAATGGCAACAATTACGGGTAGAAGACACGTCCCTCTCTCTCTATGCCACAGTGTCGCTTTGTTGGAACTTCCAACTTTATCCTTGATTGTTCTGGATTTTTCTTTGGCCTGGCAGAAGTTAAACTCCCTTAATTGAATTGAATGCCAAACTTGATGATGGCAAAGTGCACTCGAGAGGGCGACTCCCTGCTCATCCTCGGGCAATATGGCAAATGTATTGAATGGAAGGAACAATGGATCCCTAGATTATGACCTGGTTGCACCGAAGCAGCTGAACAGCAAAAGGGAACGCAGACGTGGGGCGGGAGGGGCTGGTATTAGCGTGTCAAAATGGCATAAACTAAAATCACATTTTAGCCCATTGTTCGGTCTATAGACATGGCAGAAAAACTCATAAAAACGATAACCGACAAACGCATAAGAAATGGCAAACGTTCACAGCGAATCCCATTTGGGAGAGAGGGTTGAAACTTGGAGCTGTTGAAACCTTGAGGGGGAAAACTCCCTAGGGAAATTATTATCGAGGAATTCAAGTGCATTACCTTCTGTAATGCTTGCTGCGATCCGAAATCCATCAATGTAATTGCCAGTATTATAGCAAATAAATTTGAAGTGTTAGTTCGCATCCTGTAATTCGTTAGCATTCTCAGTCTAGTACATGACTATAATATATATATATAATCGCCTCATATCACTTGAACTATCCAAACAGCCCTCGCCAACTGTTGACTCTTTCACCTGGACACAAAACCTGCCTACCTGCCTGCCTGCCTGCCCGCCTGCCCGCCGCCCGGTCTTTGTTTCACTCTCTGTTTTCTTGGTGTATTTTTTATTGAATTTTCACACGAGACTGAGTTCTAACGTCTGGCTCGTAACCATCGAAGCTTCACCCGTCCTTTAGCTCATTTAACACATTGACATTTGGCTTATTAACACCCGAAGGCACAAAGGAATGGCTGGCCATAAGCAGGCGAGTCGAAGCGAGTCGAAGGTTGTTTAACTAATGGACTGTGCGTTAAATCTAATATGCTCGTTATACACATGGCTTCGATAATAATCGATAATGATTTGTGTGTATAAATCAAGGGAAAGGACAGATATTTCTCTCTCTGGCGTACAGCACGCCAGTGCGGCACAGTAATGTGCCTTATTCCCTGGCCCCTCGATGGGTGAACCTTTCTGTATGGAACATGTATCACAGATTTATCGCATTTGGCAAGAGGGTGACCTTTTGACGTACATTGTGGCATATACCTGATGTGCAGGTTTTGCAGCCACTCCTTCTACGTTTTGGAACATCCTGCGATTACCTGAAAGCCCGTACATACACCGTGGCGTATGCTTGATGCAAATCTTGTATCTTTTCTAGCTGGACTTTTAACGGCCATTGACTCCGGTTGGCCTCTCGTAAGTTCTTTTCAATTAAAAACTTATTTGGCACATTGCAAATGCAAAAAGCACGGGGTGCTGCGGCTTTCCTCTCTCTGCCCGCCCGCAGAAGTTTTTGCTCCTTGCTTGGCAGTCGCCAAAAGTGGCGCCGTGCCACGCATAGAAATTGAGTTGCCCTCATTGTTGCTTTGTTGCTTTTGTTGCTAGTGTTGTTGTGGCCACAAAATGGTTGGCGCACAACAACACTTAAGCTTAAGTGACTACTCGAGACTTTTGTGTGTGTACGTGTGTGTGTGTGTGTGTGTGAGAGACGGAAGAACCGAAGGACCGGAGAAGCACAGCTGAGGGAAACCTCGTGACTGCGTGACCGGAAAGTGTTTGGCGTTTCCGGTTGCCGCAGCCACCGCAGCAGCCGACAACAGCAGCGGAAGTCCTGCCACGTAGACAATGGCCACTAGCAGCCAGCAACCAGCACAACTACAACGCGAACAGAACGTGTCGCCGCCACGAGTACCTGAACCTGAACCTCAACCGAATTGTAGCGCCACAGGGTGAACTTTTGATGCTCTGAAAAGATTTCGAGTTCTGTATTTAAATTAGGTTGAGTCAAAATATATACAGTTCATCTTTTCTGCGCCTCTACACAGGCTGTGTAAGTTGTTGTTAGATCCTGGGACCGACTCAACTGCCCCAAGGCAGTGACCAACCGACGAAGCCAAATGGGGGCCGCGCGCCCGCTTTTTGGTCCCTCATGCAACATCTTGGTACTGTATGGCCTTTGCAAGAATTCAAGGGCAGCAAGCAGAGCATCAAATATCTTCTGATGGGCTGAATGCCACTGACATAACTTTAAAGTTAAAGAAACTTTTGATGGTGATATGATGAGAGAGATACAACAGAGAGAGGCAACTTCTGTTTCGAGTCCCTGCAGGGACCCCGCATAACGGTGCATACGACAGAGAGACAGTAATTGAAAGGTCAATAAGAATCGCTGTCTACTTGTTGGAAGCCCGAAGTGCCACGCTCTGACAGCTGTAAGGAGCCTGAAGCAGCAGTTGAAAGGACTCAGGCAGCAGCTTTATCGGCATGCCCCACAGTCCAAGAGGGTATGTGTAGTATATAAAACAACAACAACAATACAGCCACTACAAATCAAGTGCAGTTTTGGGAGGCAGGCAGCAGAAATGAACAACAATGAAAAGGAGACCCTCCTCCAAACAAACAAAAAGGCAACCAACACTTTTCGATTCAGATGCGAGGCTCTGACCAGAGACCTTTCGGACTGGCAGAAAATGTCACGTTTCGACTATAAAATGCGCTAAACCGTTAATACGACAAAAAGCCACAGAGACCGTAACCAAAAAAAAGCAGCAGCTAAAAAGTGACTCAACGATTGGACGGACACGAACACGGAAACGGCTACGGGACAAGGGACACTATTCGAAGTCCTGTGTCTCTGTGGAAAGGCTTTAATTTTCATTTGGCTGCCATCGCGTTCTCCATGGAAACTTTCAGACCATAAGGAATCCACTTTCATATTGGGTTTTGCACACAAAGAGAAGAACGCGGGAGTGAAAAAGGAATACCTGAAAAGGTGGAGAATAAAAGTTAAGTTAATTGCTTTTGCATAAAGCAGACGCCAAGAGGCGAGGCAGCTGCCACGCCACGCCACACAGCTCCAGCATCAGCATCAGCTCCAGCTTCAGCTCGAGTGATCCAGCAGTTGTTTCTGAAAGGGAAGCTGTGTGGCAAGAGAATAAAGAGGGAGAAATGAAACCCATTGGAGAGGGCCGAGAGCTGCCAGTTGAATTGGTGCCCAATTGAGTGGAAAAATTCTTCATCCATTGGCTTCCATTTGGTGGGTGCTAAGGACTGGGGCAGCAGTCGGCAGGCAGCAGGCAGCATGCTGACTCTGATATTAAGCTGGGAAATTGTTCAAATTTTCCAGCATCCAGCAAAGCTGAAGCCAAGAAATCAAAGATGCCAATGAATCAATGAACAAGTCAAGGAAGAGAGTCAGAATCTATGGGAAGCTGCAGCTCTCAATCTAGAATAATGAACTTAATCAACCTAAGCATACAAAACAGATTAATCAAATCAGCATTATCCCAGAGTTCGCTCCGGTTGTTTGTCCAAGTTAAGCGGGGGCGTTATTACACCCCCATAATCCCAGACCCCCGATCCCAGGCCACAGACCCTTTCTGCATTTGTCAAGCACAAAAGTGAAAAGCTTTGAGTAAGCTTAATAAATTCGGGTTGGGGCTAAGCAAGCAGCCTAACAAATGAGGGTAAGGGCAAGAGGCCCTAACAGCCAATAAGTACCTCAAACAAGGTTCTTAATCCCGCACCAAAGCATTTTAACATGGGGTCAGTGGACACATTGAGTGTTGGGTGGGGCTGGGGGTTGCAGACTAGCTCCCAGGAGATGTAACCCATTAGTGCTGGCAGGCCTTAAGTCAAAGGTTGTGAAGGTAGAAACAATGGCCAACCGAGACCCACTTCAATGAGAGTTGAACGACTGACAGCGCTACGAGGAGAGTAAATGGCTTTGTCGGGTCCCGGCGAGTGTACCAGCCAAACCATATTTTACACCATGAAAGTTTAGTGCCGTAGAAGAACGGAACGAAACGCCACGAAACAGGCACCGGGACAAAAAAACCATACACACACAGTGTGTGGCCCACACGGGCTACATAAATAATTTCCACCAGGACACAGGGTACTGGCACTTTGACTAAATGGTGTGTAATAAAATTTAAATTGCTTCTGTCTGGATTTTCCTTTAGTACGAGAGTATTGTCGTTATAGCGGATTTACTCTCTCTCTCTCTCTCTCTCTGTCTCTCTCTTGAGCGCTAGGCGAAAACCCGGACACATTCCATTATTTATAACAATTGTCCGAAATTGCTGCTAATTAAATATGATTTAAGAAGGAATGAGTGAAAATGTAAATGTATTCGTTTTGGCTGAGCTGTCAATATTTGTCAGGAAGGATGGTGCGATGTCGAAAGGCCGTGTCCTTAAGACACCGACTCTCGTATACAGATGCACTCGTACACACATAGACAGAGCCGGAGGGGCTGAGGGGCTGAGGAGCTGGGGGCTCGGGTGATGGCCCTGACCTTTGACATTAGCCACAGCACCGAAACACTCTCTGGCCTCGGGCAACAAAATTTGTTTATAATTCAAATAGCGGAATACAGAAAAAAAACTATGCAACAAAAATGGAACAATACCGAAAACAAGGCAAGAAAAACACGTTAAGCAAACACGATAACGATACTATATAGATATGAGAGAGAAGGGAGCACAAGGACAGCAAGGACAACAGCAGGGACCTACAACAACTGCAGCGAAAGCAACAACAACGACAACGACAAGCGACAACATTCGACAACGACTACGACTACGACAAACAAAAACTCAGGCAAGCAAATTTATTTCAATTTAAAAATTTTGGTCACGCTCAACACAAAAAGCGAGTTAAGCGAATGGGCGGAACGGGATAGGACTTAGGACCGAGGGCTGAGGACCGAGGGCTGAGGACCGAGGACTGAGGGCCGCCGCCGCCAGTCGGGGCTTCCCATTTGTATAATTGCTGGCGTGCCGGAGGAGAAAAACGGTTCTCCGCTCTCTACTTAGTCTTGTCTTGGCCTCTGGCCCCCAAGATGCCTAGTTTATGCCATGACACGATCCAAGGACGCTTGACAGCAAATGGATAAGGACGTTATCAACTGTGGACATGCGGGAGTTTAGAAAAAAACCAAATATGAAACTGGCCAAAAAGTGGCGCCAGCTAATATTGAAATTGGAGATGAACGATGGATACGCATTGAATGATCATTTAACAGATGAAATATCAGATCAAATGGGAACAGCAAGAAGTCCTTAGACCTTGGGTGTCTTTGTGTCTAATCGTGACTGATTTCTGAGCTCACGCTGCCATCTCCAATTGAATATTTGCGCAATACAAATGGCCAACCAAGCAACCAACCAACCAGCCAGAGCCAGCGAGCCCACGAGCCAGCGACGATTTATGTCTGGGAATTAGTTGATATGCATTGGCGATTCGAAATCGCAGACAGGCCAATGCCAACCGCGCTGCAAAGTGGAGGAGGAAGTGGAAGTGGAACTGGAACTAGCCAGGCGGCGGGGGGCCTTGACAATGGCAATGAGAACGAACGAGCCAGACTCGTGTGTTGACATCGATTGACAAGGTGCCGGGGGCTGCGGACACTGAAGGACACCATACCACATCAGACCACACCACACCACAACACAACACAACACAACACAACGCACCACATGAGAGGGGGAAACTTTTTTGCCCCCACGACGCGTCGAGAACAAAAAATGAAACGTGAATGTCGTTAAGTTGAGGCAACCACGTGTTGTCCTTCACTTGAGCTGTGGGGATGGCTATATGCAACAAGCGGACCAGAAGTTGGCCAACGGCCATAGCCATGTGGGGGTGGGGGAGGGAACTAGACCAGGTGTGCTCTTTATGTGTGTATGTGGTCAGTATATTGTGGCTGTTGTGTGGCGGAGAAAACTATCAAAGCGTTTGGATAGGCCACACCACAATTGAAGTGTCCTTGAAGGCAATCAACGAAATGATTGCCAAATTAGGAGGTTCGGCCAAAGCTACTGAAAACTTTTATTCCACACAAGTTGGTCAATTGGCATACAATAAGAGTAAAATACGGCGCCAAACGAATGCCAGATGGAACTTCAAGTTTAAATGGTGAATTAAGGATAATTTGAGGCACTTACCAGCACTTAGCGTTGTCAACAGCTCATACATTAGCCAGTCGTCATCTGCAAGGAAAACTTAATTCAAATAACGAATCCAATTGCCCAAACTAATTATTGGTCAGAAGTGCGCAGCCACAAACTGAAGAGCTAAAGAGCTGCGGAGCTGCCACCCCATGGCTGATTTATGCTTTCAGGCGTCCCAAGGCATGCGTCCATTTTGCCACCCCCCGCTCCTTCTCCTACTCTTGCTCCATCCCGGCACAAGCAGTATATCCTTCAACTTGACCACACCACCATGGAACGGGTGGGGGGGGACGGTGTTCCGTTCCGTTCGGTTCTGTTCTGTCCTGTGTTCTGTGTTCTGTGTGGAAGGAAGGTCTGGCTGTTCTTCATATTGTGGTGTCTTTGTGTATGGCTTGAGCGTGTGTGTGTGTGTGTGTGTGTGTGTGTGTGTGTCTGCCGTGCCTGTGTGAGATGTCCTTGTCAAACACTAATGGCGTCGTCGCCATTGCCATTGTCCTTGCCAGCGTGTTAATGTGCGACAGTTTCCTGCTGCCGTCGACGGCCAGCTATGACGTTTCCTTCCCACAGCTGTATATGTCTCTCCTTATTTATGCGCTTTCCTCCTCCGATTTTTTCGGTGGCAGCTGAAATCGAATGAAACGAAGCCTTTTAAAATGCTGTGTGCGTGGGTGTGTGGGTTTTTTGTGGGGGAGAACAATTGAAATGTAGTTACGTATGTCGTAAACCAACAGTCTATGCCATTTCTTAAGGAAATTGGAGAGTCGGGACCTTCTCGTCTGATATACGTATGTATACTCGTACATATGTGGGCTTGTCCATCCTACCACTGGTTCACTTGTTGGGGTTTATCTCCTCACCTGTTATACGTTCTCCATCTCCGTCCGCCTGCCAATGACTCATCTATCGGGGGACATCCTCATTCCTGCCACTGGCTGCCTGGTTCATCTGGCTGCTGATTTATGTTTTCCTTTTCTCATTCGGTTTCTTCTTTTACAGAACATATGCCTGTGCAGTTTTCCATCGATTTTCGTCTTGCGCCACAACGGACTGGGGATGAAACACCAAACACATAAAACGGATTTGATATTAAAAAAATATGCAGGTAAAAACAAAAACCCACTACTCTCCAATTTATCCGCTGTGCCTGTGTGCGAGTGTGTAAGTGGTTCGCTCCCAATATGCTACAAGGAACAACCGCAAACAACGACAGCGTGCAACACAAAAGCTTTGGTCTCACCAACAACCCAACAGTGCGGTGCGGCTTATCGGTAAATGCAACATGGCGACGGCCGCGTCACGTCGCGTCGTGGCGCCGCTGAATTGTTGTTATTGCGCGGTAGTTCCCATTTGTTAACGGAAAAACAACACACACACACACACAGGCGGCAGCAGCCTCTCATGCATACCAATTGCAAAATAAGGAACTCAAACACAACGAGCACCACACCGCACCGCGCCGCATCGCATCGCATCTCCATCCCATCCCATCCAATCCACACTCCACTGTGTGTGCAAGTGCCACACTTTAAATTGAAAAAATAATGCTCAAATTCGACGACAGTGCGGCAAGGTCGCTTCGCTCCAAATTGTGGTGAAGAGATGCTAGGCTGCCGCCAGAGCTCCCCTGCCACAATGCCAAACGCAAATATTTATTGCCACTGGACGAAGATCAGACATGTCAATAAACAGCAATTTGCTTTGCGACGGCCGAATGCGTAAATTAAATTAAACCGTCGACAACAAATGCACTCTTCTGTTGTGTTCTATAAATGTTGGCGAGCTTTCATAATTAGTTTCAATTTTAATCACCATTTTATCCGAAAGAATTAACAAAACAAAAGCGCCGCTATGCTGCCAGGGATGGGTAATGGCAATATCGATATCACAGAAATGTGATCTTCCATATGACTTTCTATGTGATATTTTTTCCGATATCAAGATCGATATTTTCTTGCCATGAAAAACGATGGAAAATATGAATTTTTATTGAATTTATTGAAGCACATGCAAACTTTCACCGACAGCAAAAACAGAGAGTGAAAGAGCCCCGAGTGCAATATGTGAACACATGGGAATCCGATGAACCAGGGGCATTAATCAATTTGTGTTTACATTTTGCAGAAACAAGAAAAAAGGCGCGAGCTGCGCCTAAAGCGATTCTGGCGCTCGCCGAAAACAACCTCCTCGGACGACTCCACGGGCTATGAGAGTCCGACGCGAACGAAACCAGCAGCAGCAAGTGCCAGCAGCAGCGATGGGCAGCGTTTCAATCATCTGCACTACACCAGCCTATCGCAGGGCTCTGGCACCTCATCCTCGGCGGGACCGGCGTGTCTCGGTCCAGGGGGTGGTCTGACTGCATCCACCACTGGGGCAGGGTCATCCGGGAACAACAAGCCATCCTGTTCGCTGCCACTGCTCCAGGTGTGGCCCAGCCAGGTAGGCGTTATCTCTTTTTATTTTCTGTTTGCTCTCTGTGTTCGTTTTGTGAGCGATTTTGTGTATGTCTCTTCGTGCGTGTGTGTGTGTGTGTGTGTGTGTGCGTGAAAAATAATATACAACAAACATACAGGAAACATGCAGAAAGCAGCAAAAGCTTTCAATTTTGGTACATTTTTTTAGTTGGTTTTTCTTCCCTAGTTTTGAAATTAAACATACATGTGAGGTTATGTTGCGGTCAGCTGCGCTGTGCCTTTTGCGTTAATTTGTTTTCCAACTTCTCTCTTCCCCCACCATACCACACCACCACACATATGTACTACCACTGCCATCACAACCACACCACACCACACCACACACCACCACCACACCACCCACCTCTTATTTTGTGTGTGCGTTGCGTGTTCGGTTTGGTTTGGTTTGGTTTTGATTGCTGGCTGGTTTTCCGTGGTAGCCGCTCTTGCGCCAGGAGGGCTTCGTACAGTTGCGTCGTAACAGCGGCCCCGAGGGCCAGCGGGTATGGTTCCATTCAGTTCCTCTCTTTATCAAGTCTCTCTCTCTCTCTCTACTCTCTCACACAATAGTCTTCTTATCTTATTCCCTATTTACAACTACTACTACTACTACTAGTCCTTACTAGACTTTTTTGCATGCCTCGATTAACGTTTTTTGTCGCCAAAGCCTCCAACGAGAGCTCTTATCTATCCGTTTTTGACTACTTACTAACTGTATAATAGATATGACCAAACTACCCATCTTGTTGAGGTTATTTTGTGTATTCTACACGTGTTTTTTACGTAGAAACCCGTTTATCATGTATCTCTCTATTGGGAATTCTTTTTTGCTAAAGTATAGTACTATAATCCTTGCACAAATGGCAGCGAGGGCTAACCACTAAGTTGTGGGAATAAATCAAACGAAATTCACTCGAAATTCGAATTTCATTGAAGTCCATGTATGTATTTCCCATACGAATATCTCCCACAACTTATCGTCCAGCCCTTGCTATACCCAAACAACACATTGTGTAAGTAACCCCCACCCAAGATACCACTTCATCACCTTGTATATATTATGTATAGTATACCTAAAACACCCCCGAAATACTAAGTTTTTGAACCACCTAACTAAATGAATTCACCGCCCAGAACTCCCCCCACGGCCGAGACCCCCCACACAGCACCCAACAACCGGCTTACCCTGTCCCCAATCCCCAAAGAAACCTAGCCCTGACTGTTGCCCCACTCAAACGTTCTGTGGACTCTTGCAGGACTCACCGCGCGGCGAGGCCGATGGCCAATCCTTCATATTCCCCGCCATCGTGGAGACGAATGTCAGCAGCAGCCTCCTGGCCGGAGGGAGCAGCAGCAACCTCAATCTGAATGCCCGGCGCAGCCAGAATCATCTGACCCTCAGCACGGATCGGCGCAGCTCGCTATACTGTGATACCCTGCACGCCGGCGACTCGGGCATCGACTCGGTGCAGGCATCGCCTTCGCCCAACGCCTTCATCGCCCCGCCGGGTGTGCTGAGCCTCCCCATGGGTCGGACGGGTGGTGGATCGTGCCACGTATCGCCCACAAGTACGCCTACACAGGGCTCCCCGAACCTGTCGCTGGGCCGGCGAGGCATCAGGAACAGCATCTGTGTGGTGCCCAGCGGCGATGGTGGAAGGCGCAAGTCTAGTGCCTTGCTCCACCCGGATCATGCCAGGCTGTTCGCGTTGAGGATGAAGCATGCGGCGGCTCTGGAACGGGCGCAGACATCGCCAGACCAAACCTCCATCGAGGATGCCAATGAGTTCCATGACAACGGACTGGCCACCAATCTGCGGCTGTGCTCGGCCGCGTCATCGACGACGTCGTCGCTAACATCCGTGGCAGCGGTCAGCCTGGGCGGATCCGGCGGTGGCGCTGCCGGTGGTGGTGGCTGTGTGGTCGGGCTGGGCATTGGCAGCAGCGGCCTGGCCACCAGCAGCGGCAGCGGTGGCGCCTGCTCCTCCGGCTCCGCCTATGCTGTGGGCGCGGCGGGCGTCCAGCAGCGCGTCTCCGATCCGTGGCTGCAGCCACAATCGGATCGGGAGCGAGACTCCCGGCATGATGGCCGTCGACGTTCCTCAACGATGACCGCCCGCTACTCCCTCTTCGATGCCCTCGACCTGGAGTACGTCCTACTGAGGGCCGCAGCCAGGGGTTCGGTGGGTCCGTACAGCCTCAGCGAGTCCATACACAAGCTGACCTTCACCCAATCCCTGGCGTTTCCCGCTCTGGCCCGTGGCCTGGCCACCAAGCGTCGCCGATCGGCGACGCACACGAGCTCCAGGCCCCTGAATCCGCACGAGTCCGGGCTGAACACCTGCGCCAAGGTGGTCACTGCCGTGGTGCTGGTGGCGCTCTCCTTCATGGTATTCTTGATAGTGTACAAGTTTGTGCGGACGTGAGGTTTGCTCCTGGCCCCGTCGCCAGAGTTGCCAGTCACATATCAGGCCAACTACGGACTGGATGATTCCTCATCATCCATCATCTCATCAGCTGGCCGCAGTCTGGGCAAACACATGTCGGGGTTCAGGAGCAAATTAGGTCTGCGGGAGGCCGACTTTGAGTGATCCCTTCTGAAAGGGAAAGCAGTAGAGAACGCGTAGGCAGACGTATGTAGATGTAGGTGCAGATGCAGGTGCAGGTGCAGAAAAAGTGCGTATTGAAAATTTTTGTGATAAACTATCAATGAAAAGCAAATTTTCCACAAAAGAAGAATTCAAAACAAAACCAATAACGAAAACAAAACTAAGCAAATGGATAGATAACAAATTAAAGGCTTAAACAATTAGTAAACCGCTTCAAGAGGCTTGCCAGAGTTTCATATAAAAATAATACAAAATAATATTTTTTTATATATATAAAAATCAAATCGCAGCTCGCATTTCCTAGGCTCCTACTTAGCAAAAAGATTTTATAATAGAACTCTATAGACTCCTCCTCCCCTCCCACAAAGAAGACAAGGGGGCAAGGAAACAGAAACAGAAACGGAAACCATTTCACTGTTTGCAGTTACAGTTACAGTTACAGTTACAGTTACAGCTGAGAAGTGCCTAACTTTTTGAACTTCTGGCTATTTTTCTTCCCGTAAAATCGAATTTATCAATCAATCGGCAGCTGCTTTGAAGGGAAAGGACTCCCTCTAGGGAAGGTACTTTGGTGGAGGGCATTGGAAGGATATGTGATGATGGATTTTGAGTTATTTGTGCGCAATCGGTAAGATTTTCATCAGAACTTTGGTTATAAAATAAAACATATTCCTGCTAAAACCTCCCCAACATTTTAATGTAATTTCTATTAGTTCAACACTTCATTTTGATCTCTGATATTTATATTTATTTCCTGAAACCTTTTCCGCCCATCAACATTCCTTGCCAGCCTCCAAGAACACCATGTTAACAACATTTTAGTGCTGAATAATTGGCTTTAGCCCTTAAGCAACAGGAAACCCCTTGCTTGGAAGAGATCAATGGAGATCAATGTAACCTACCAGTAAATAATGTACTGTACTGTACTGACCTGTTAGATGGCTGATTGCAGGGCAGACAGACGATATATGGAAATCCAGGCATATTTAAACAACATATTTACGGTAGCTATATATACATACATATGTACTATAGTTATACAAGCAAAATATAAGTATATATACGAGTCTATATGTAGGTACTACGAGCATAGTATTGTATGTACATATGTATGTGGGTGTTTATAAACGTATATATTTAAGCGGCTTAAATGTGAAAAAGCACTTGCTGAAATACCAATACAAAAGAAAACTATCTAACTCTACTCTTGACTCGCTGCCTTACTTTCCTCTAGTGAAAATAGTCGAAACGAAACTAAACGATAAATACCAACATATGTACGTGTAAACGAAAGCGAAAACCCAATTAACAAATTCTTCATAAATTGCTGCCTTACTTTCCTACACATTTGAATAAAAATCCTCGAAGAAGGATACAACTTGGACTCTTGGACTCGTCAGAGCGTTTTTCCAATTTCCTCTACGATTCTATGAGCTTGAACCCAATAGATTATGCAGAACAAAATCAATTTTATATATCTATAATGCTAAATATACAGATACATATAAATATAAATATATATTAAATGTAATTTTAAATAATTGATATTTAAATAAACGCTGGCTAATATAAAAATAAACACTTTTGTTGTGTAAGCTTAAGCAATATGTTTGGTTTTTTTTTTGGTTTGTTTTGGTTTGCCTTTGCTTCGTTATGCATAAATCATTCTTGTGAATTTGTCGCCTGGCATGGCATTTCATCAATATTGTACGAGCATGTGTTTGTGCATAGCCTGGGCTGGGCATCCTGTTCGTTTCTCATTTTCCATTACGATTGGTGTGCAACGACTATGGTTAAATACACCTACATATATATATTATATATTATATAAACTTGCATATTAAATGTCACACTATACGAGTATATAAAAAAAGGCAAAAGATGAACCACAAAAACAAAACCATCTGTAAACCGTAACAGTAAGTTGAAACGTGCAACAATAAAAGGAGAACTTTTCAAATAAAAATACAACATTTGTGTGTTCCATTTTTCTGGCTCTGTTCGATTCGATTCGGTTCGTCGCATCTTTGGGTTCTATTGTAAAGGTAAAATATATTCGTACTTCGCATTTATCTCTGTGTTTTGCCTGTGGCTTCCTGGAATTGTACGTCCAACGTCCACTAATTGAGAGTGACGTGCCCGAGTCGGATCCAATGAAGGTGCGATGAAGATGGGGCCGGATGATGATGATTTATGAACAGCTTCGATTGGCAGCAGAACAAGTTGGAAAACTGTTTGGGAATACTGGCATAAATGAATACTAATTAAGGGAATAAATGCGGCAGGGGTTGGTTTCTGACGTCTGGTGTCTGGGTGGCCAAGAAAAATGTATGAAAATCGACTGAAAGTTCGAAGCATGCAAAAAAAAAAGAAGTTTTGCAACAAATTTTACAATACTGCAGACGGTCAAGAGAAGGTAGGTATAAAAAAATGGAATTGAATTGAAAATTCCCCGTAAATGGTATAAAAAAAATTCCTCAAATATTTTACTCTTCATTTTAATTGAATTGTTTGTATAAAAAGCGAGAAATACCCGGAAAAGAGGACAAGGAATATGGAGGGGACTGGATTGCTTTAGTAAATGCTCTTTCCGAATAATCCTTACTCTGAGGATAAGCATAGGATTGTGTGGATAACACATCCCTGAAGGCTTTGAAACAAATAAGATGACTATTTTTCTTAGTAGAACAGAATTTAAAAAGCATATCCCATCGGCCAATAATTGATTTGTCAATGGGTTGCTCTCTTGGCATATTTATGCAATCGATTTAGTGAAGATTGATGAGCCCCGAGCCCGCCTCAGAAGTTGTCTTGGCCCCTTAAAAGCATCCTTAGCAGATCCTGGCCCACGCAATCACAGTTGGTACCCAGATAATTATCCAACTTCTTGGAGAGGGGGCGCCTTCGGCTTGGGCTTGGGCTTGGGCTTAGGCTTGGGGCTTTATGAGCATGAGATTCTCGGTGATAAATCGTGCTGTCGTTGCTTGTCTGCGCATTTTCGGTTGAATTGCTAATCCAAATAATTAACCAAACTCAATTAGATTTGCTAGAGAACATATACATTACATACACATGTATATTGTACGAGTAGAGCCCACATGTGTGTGGTGTGTTTGTTCTCCAACTAAGGCAAAGCCTTTTCCCAAACGAAATGAAATGAAAATACAGACAAGACCCAATGCCATGCAAAGGCAAAAGGAAAGGCAAAGGACCAGGCATTCGGCACAGATTGAAAGAACTTGGAAGGGGTCATTTGACGAAAGCTGTGCCAGGATTAACCGGGGGCCGTGCTGGGAGAGAATCAACTGCCGGCTGGGACTAGTCCATAATTAAGCAAGGAAACCACAAGGAAAATAAGAAAATTGAAGCCCCAACGAATCTGAAACGCAATCGAAATCGCAGTGGCTACGGCTCTGGCCTCTCTCTCTCTCTCTGTCAGCATTCATAACATAACACAGAGGTAAACAAAAGTTTTCATTCCCTGCTCTGATGGCCGGAAATAACGCATACGCCGTGTGTACACGTATACGTATTCGTCTGTGTGGCACAGAGTTCGTAACAATTTGTGAAATAATTGAAATACAATTTTAACCGATTCACTGCCCTCGAGAACACGTGTTTCGATTTCAGACCCACTTCCACTTCCCTTTTGGCTTCTACATTAAATACATTTCAACATTTTTCCCTCTACTACTCGACTGGACTATTTCTGGCTTATACCCTTGCCAGTGTCTTTGATGATTTTTTTAGGGTATTTGCAGCGCAGCAAAGGAAGCTTTTCTGGCACTGTAAAGTGCCTGTTTCTGTAGGAAGTCAAGAATCCTTAATTGATTATTGTATCTCATGGAACGATGCATCTGCAAGGGTATTTTAGGTACCTGTCCAGCCTGTCTGGTGTTGGCCCTTCTTTTCGGCTGCTGTTTGTGGCCTTTGATTATGCCTGGGAATATATATTTTTAGCACTCAAGGTTGCCCGAGCTACGGATGCTCATGTGGATGTGGATGATTTGAAAAGTGGTAGGCAACAGTTAGCAGAGGGACAGGGGATTTGTGAGGATGGATGGAGGGGTTAAGCACACACGAGCCGTTGCCGTTGCCGTTGCCGCCGCCTTGTGAGCCACCAGCCACCAGCCACAAGCCACCAGGCCACCGATGATGGTGCAGGTGCACGGGGCAGTTGCAGTTATTTTCCTCTTTTTGTTCAAACTTGTTGCAAATACGTACAGCAGCGGTGCATCTGTCGAGGCCTTGACTCTGACTGTGTGTGTCCTTGGATGATGGGAGGGGCGGGAGGAGCGGGAGGAGGAGGGGGAAACCTTGTGCAAAAATTGAAAAATTTGTCGGCCTCCTATACACAAGAGCAATATACGTACGTACGTACGTACATATTTTCGGGGGCCTACGGAGGAGGAGCGTACGTCTATGGGATGTCAGTTGAAAGCTGTGGCCCCTCAAAGGAGAACTGTGGATAAATGCATGCAATCAAAATGGAATTTCCAAGTGTGTGATCAATTTCAGTTCTTGCCAGCAGCTATTGCCGCCCTATAGTCGATTCATAACCATTTAAGACCCGATTTGCACCACAAGAATCACTGTAGATAATCGTTGGAGGAGGCCTAACTGGTAGCTGATAACTGGTAATCGCTGAAGGGATGTCTAAAGAATGGATTCCCAAGACTTAAGTCTTTTTACCGTTTCAAACAATCGTTGCCTAGTTACCATACGATTCCAAAGTCGTAATTTAAACACTGAGAGAAATATGGCACAGTATAAAGAAACACACGCATATTTTAATTAAATATTCGATTTTTAAATTAAATAGAATTCATTTGAATTTAAACATACACTTTTTCAAGTCTTTTTAATAAGACCCATATTTTATCTAAAAATAAAACACTTTGAAGTAAATACAATATATTAAATTTGTAGGGAAAATATACCCTATATATGTATGTATATATATATGTATACATGAAACATATTTATTTTAAATATAAATTACATACATATATGTATTTTAAATTTACAATTTCTACCCTTAGCGCAAATCTGTATTGTATTACAATGCTTTTGTAAATGTTTTATTCTCTGGGTGTAGTTTGTATTTTTTAATCAGTTAAAAAGCAAGTAATTTTGGAGTCGATTTGAGGCATCCTGTACAGTGTAGCCCCGTTTGTAAGAGTATAATTAAATGCGCTGGTCTTTAAGCACTTTTCCATTGAATTACAATCTGTACGATGGACTATGGACTGCTGTCTATTGAAAATCGTTCAAACATGATCCCAAAAGCGAAACTAAACAGAATCGTGCTTTCTTAGCCCTCCCCGTTCGTTCCGAAAAGGTCAGAGCCAAATTGGATTTAAATTTTAAATTACGCACACGATGAAAGTAATTTGACTAAAAATTGGCCAGCGATGATCCAGGAATGGTGGGGCGATATCTGAAGGTTGGAATGGGGAATAGAATTGGTGGGGTTTGGGGGGAGGCTCTTTCCAGTAGCGAAGCGAGACGAAGAAGACCTTTTGCGTTTCAATTAAAAATGATTAAAGATACACAAGAAAAAGGTTAAAAAGGCACGCATGCAGCACAAAATGGTTGCGGACAAATAAATTTCAAGAAGAAAATAAGAACAACAACAAGTTCAGACGGGAGCAGCATCAGCAGCAGCAGCAGGAGGCGAATACCCTCCTGGGAAACTGTCACACACACACACACACACTCTCTTACAAAGAAACAAGCAAACAAACAGATAAACGGTGGAGATTCCTTCCTGCTTTTCCTTTTTTGGTGGGGACTGTGCGATATTTTTATGCAGACGTAGGCTCAAGGACCTAAAGATGAGTTGGAGGGTGGGGGTTGGGGGGGAGCGCCTGCAAGCATGGAAATTAGTTTTGCTGACTGCAAAAAGGAAAAAGCAGGAAAACAAGGCAAGGAAATAAATGTTTTACGAGAAGTAGTGGAGTAAGTGGAGACGACTTACAACATCTCAGTGCAGCAGCAGCAGCAGCACCAGGACGGCGCGTGCAGCAAAGTTCTGTTCTCCCTCTGGCGATTTCCACTTAGGAGCGGAGCCAAGCGGGACAATTGGAAAAAGCGTCAAACGTGGGATTATTCGGGTGGTGGGGGCTACAGGATGGCAGGCCAAAGCGACATTGTGTCTGCTTCTCGACGCATGTTGCTGCTGCCCCTTGCTCTTAGCTTCCTCTTCGTCATTACTCGTTTTTGTTGCCTTTTAACAATTCTTTTATGATTTCCTTAATAAACACATACACATACACATACATATATGTATGCACGTGCACACCCACACACCCATCCACCCACATAGTGGCAGGCAGCAGCCGAAACGTCTGCAATTTCAATTTAACAACACCATATGTCTTGCTCTCTCACTCTATCCCTATCTCTTGCTCGCTCTCTCTCTCACTCCCTCTCTCTTTCTTTAGCTTCCTGCCCCACGGCTAATTCGTGTGTGTTTCCACAGTGTTCTGTTCGTTTTAATGAATTTTAAATGTGAACTTGCACTTAAACCTGAAATTTAATAAGCATTTCATAATTCCTTAACTATTTACAAATTCAATGGACGCTAAGCCAGAGATTTCCATCCACCCAGCCCACGTGGCGGGTACACGTTCCGGAGCTCCTTCTGCGCTTGACAGCTAATTGAGCCTCCACGTTCTTCTTATGGGGCTATTTTACAGTCCCAAGGAACCGGCAGGGCAGGCACAAAGGCAAGCCCCACGCACACACACCTGAGTCCTGAGCCCTGTCCGAGTCTGGGTGTTTCAGTCCTCTCCGTCCGCTTGCCTGCCGCTTTCATAAGACAATTATGAAATGCGTTTTTTATAGCCCTATTATTGCCTCGGACTCCATGGGACGGGGGTTCAAAAGGACAATCAGGCTTTGTTACGGCCAAGATCGTAGTGAGTGTCGTATCGTTGGCTTCCGTTGATTAAAAATATTCTTTTATAACAAGGTTCTTTGGCAGAAACAAGAACGAAATTTTTAACTGATTGGAATAATACATTTAAAGGTTTCTTAAAGAGGAATTGCTTAAGAAGCATAATAGCTTGAAAGGTAAAAAATGAAACAATGAAGGCTGGTTCTGGTCAATTAATGAATTAATTTTCCTTGAACTACATCTTAATATTAGTGGAAATTTAAAAGTTTAAATTCAAATTAACGTATTTTTAGGCGCGCTCGTTGGCAGCTCAGCTACAGACTTTTGTTTGGTATTTAAAAAATACGCGTTACGGTTTTATGGAATCTGAATTCCTATACACTTCAAGACCAGTGTCGCCTGAAGCCTTATGGGAAAAGCTTGCCGTGAGAGCGAGCGAGATAGATGCGTCAGCTTGGCCTTCCCGTTGAGAGATGCAGCACTGCGGCATAAATAATCGATTGTTACACTTTGCAGATCCAATTTTGCTGGCTCGCTGGCTGTCTGTGGAGCATAATTTAATCACAAATAGAGCCTCAGCTATTCGGACTGATGACGTTTATTTTTGTCGCTCATGCTATCTCTCTCTCTGAAGCAAAGTCTTATATCCTCTATTATGTCAATTAATTTTTACATACATTAAAGAATTTAGGGTATGTAATCTTTCACACGCAGGTTTTCCCGAATTTGCACTCTTTGAAATCGTACTTCCCTGCATCATTTATTTCACTAATTACAATCATATCCTTGTCACTCATTCTGGTTCAAACAATTTCATTTTGGCGCGCAGCTCCAGCAATTATCCCGTCGACTGTATATGTAGTTATCGCGTAGTTACCATGTAAAAGAATTTCCAGTTTGTTGACGTTTTTTGTAAAGCCCTATCTTAAGCACACCAATAAGTCTTTAAAATTAGCCAATATTGTAGCAAATTGATTCATCAATGGGATTAAACTATGTGTTCAAGGCTAAGGGTCCTCGGTAGCTAGTCATTTTCTACCGAATATCTAAATCGAGGAATATGATTTCTGTTCATGGACAAAGAACTATTAACCCATTGTTGACCAGGGGTATTAAATACTCTTCACGAAAATTATGAAACTTAAAAAATTTTAGCGCAGTTTAGGTGACAGATATCGTGGTCATTTTTGTTCTTAAGAAAGAAAATATGTATCTATAAGAAAAATCTCCTAAAAATGGTATTTTACGCGGCTCCACTCAAGTGGTTCAGCTGTTTAAATCGAATGGGGTTAAGTGGACTAAGTTGGTTTTTCCATCAGTATATTTACGGTATATTTTAAGAATGAGACTGTATTATTGGGAGGGCCAGACGGTATATTTTATGGATAAATCCGCGCCAAACAGCTGGTCCCAAAAAATTATATACAAAAAAAGAAACGAAACAAAAAAAAGCTTACGGTGCAAGTAATTGGTTCTATTGCAAATAAATTTATAAGCATAAAACGAAATGGAATCGGATACGCTGGATATGGAGGGTGCTGCGGCAGCATTGAAAAAGTTGTCGCAAAGTGAAAGTGCGGGTGGTAAGGAAACAGAAGCAGCATTGTCGGAGGGGGCGCCGCCAACAAAGAAACAAAAGACTGTCGATAAAGAAGATCGTGAGGTGGTAGACAGGGAGGACGAAGACGATGCTGACGATGATGATGATGAGGAGGATGATGATGAGGAGGAGGATGATGATGATGATGACGAGGAGGTTCCGCAACTGGTTGCTGCCGTCGAGGGGGGGAGTGAAGAAGAGAGCTGTCTGGAGCGGGTTCAAAGCACTCAAAGCAACCTGCGTACATTCCGGCGGATTCCCGTCTTCATTGTGGACTATCATAATGACGTGCTGGAGTTCATCTACCGCTGCCTGGGCACGCGACACCTGCCGCTGGAGAACAATCTCCTGGTGCACTTTGACTCGCATCCGGATTTGGTGATACCGCGGCATATAGCCGCCAGCTCCACCTACGACAAGGAGACGATGCTGAATGAGCTGAGCATTGAGAACTGGATCATGCCAACGCTGTATGCAGGTGAGTGCTACAGTCCAATCCAAGTTCCCCCTCAACTAAAGGAATCTCTGTTCTGTACCGTTTCCAGGCCACTTTAATCGCATGGTTTGGCTGAAGAACTCGTGGTGCCAGCAGATACCTACCGGCAAGCATGAGTTTAAGATCGGCCAGAAGGACGATCGCATTGGCGTGGACTGTCCGTTGGATTACTTTATTGCCGATGGCAATTACTGCTCGAGCGACAGCCTCCAGGAGGCACGACATGTAGAGCTGCAGGTCTACGATGCAGACAGCGACAGTCTCGACCCTCGGCAGTTCATCACAGAAAAGGATGCCAAGGGGTTTGTGCTGGACATTGACCTGGACTTCTTCAGCACTTCGAATCCCTTTCTGGAGATCTACAAAGACGCCGATTGCTACAATCAGCTGAAGGAGATCTTCCATTTTGTGAGCGTAGAGGCCGTGAAGAAGGCGGCCACGGCCACCATATCGGAGTACATGGCCACGGCGGACAAGCGGCAGACGCAGCTGGAGGCACTCAAGCGGATCTTTTGGCATCTGGAGGAGCAGCGCAGCCTGGACGGGCTAGAACTGCCCGACGAGACGGTTATCAGTCCCGAGGTCTATGCGAAGATCGTTCATTTGACCGAGCAACTGCAGGACAAGTATCCCGACGATGAGATTGACTGGCACTTGATATTCGACTCGGGCAGCACCACAGACAACAATGGCCTCCCCCATCACATAAGCAGCAGCCAGGAGCTGGAAGAGTATTTTGCGAATTTCAAGCGATTCCTCGAGCGTCTTCCCGTGCCTCCCGTGGCCATAACGATGGCCCATTCCGCTCAGGATGATTACTGTCCCCAGGATCAGGTGGCCTTCATCGAGGAGCGAGTGCTGCGCCTGCTCAAGGACGTCTTTGGCGAGAGGCTAAACGATAAGGCAATCCTACAATATATGGACGATCCCTGGGATGTGATGAAGCTCTAAGCGCAAAAAATATATATTTTAAAGGGATCCGAGGTGGAGAACCCGAACACGCCTGAACACACAATCTCCAATCCAATCGCATCCAAGACTTAAAATAAAACCCTTTCAATGACTCCCAAAACGTTGGGGCTGGGAAAACCCCTCGAAAATGATTCCCAGAACTTATAGTGAGAGCAAAGCAAAAAGATGGAAATATCCAATTATAAATTATACAAATATTTTTTTTTTACTTTATAAATATACGCTACGTATTTATTATACAAACACAGGACATGTAAACACAGGAAATGCATTTAGGGGGAATGCCGGAGGAATATTTAAGCGAGGCGACCCTCTGGCCACCCATTGCCATTTGGTGTGAACGACCTCCTTTCAGGTCACTCAACTTTTAATTGCCGGCGCCAAATCAATAGGCCCTCGGCCACTGAGCTAAATTTTCAGTAACATTTTGTGGCTCAGACGAATTGGAAGTTGCTTTCACACAAAGAACAGACGACAAGTAAGTCTACTTAAAATCTAAAAGAAAAACAGTTTTTCTTTGTTCTAAACTCTGCACTAGACAGACAGATCTCAGGGGGGTAATCTCTTGTCACTGGTTCTGCTCTACAGCTCCTCATTGTCGCCTTTTTTGGGCTTATTTTTTGGCTGCAGCTGCAGCTGTGGCGGGGCCAGCTCTTCTTTGAGGCACTCGCGTTCTGCCTTTTTCTTCAGCACGTGATCCTCACAGAGATGCTGCCGCAGGGACTTTTGGTCCTGCAGCTTAAAATACCAGTCACTGATGGTCTCCTCGTACTCTTCGAGCATGTTCTCACATTGGGTCTTCATTTGGGTGACCTCGACGGGGGGCTTGTCCCACAGCTCGTAGGGTATGCCCAGGTCCACCTTGACACCCTTGTCGACGAGGCCATGCAGGGTCTGGAATGTCTGGGACATGCCCTTGGCGAACCTGGTGCTGTCCGTTCGCTCCTTGTGCAGATTGTATGCCAGGACGCGTTCGCAGACATTCTCCAAGGACTCCAGCAGGCGGAGTTCGCTTCGGCGGTACTCGGTGCGCTTCTTGGGCCGTACATCGTCCACAGAGTACCCCGTCTCGATCACGTCGTGCGATTTGCCGGTCTCACCAAGCCGTCCCTCCAGTTCCGCGGCTAGAATTTTGCAGGCCTCACACCGATTGGCATAGCGGACGCCCTGCTCCTCCTCGGGAGAGGAGTCTGCCTGCGACAGCTGGAGGCTGCTGGCCAGGACTCCCAGTGCCAGGATGACTAAGCGAGGCAGCATTTCTACAATATGTTTGGATACAAACTGATAATAAACCTGACGTGGAAATGCAATTTGAGATAAGAACAGTGCTGGAAAAGACTGGCAGCTGCCAGTAATGGCTAGCGGCTCGTGTAATCGATTCGCTATCGATTTCAAATTTCACATTCAAACGGCTGCCCGGGGCAACCGAACTGGCTGCCACAACAAAGGAGCCAAGCCCCAAGCCTCCGCATCCCCTGTCATCGAGCCCCATTCCAGAATGTCACTTTCACTTGGACCGTTCCACAGAAATGTCCCACAAAAGATTCTATGTGCGCTTAGAGCTACAGCTGCATGCGGTTGGTGGAGACATCTTTAAAGCTACTTCCTTTTTGATGGCTTCCATTGATCTTCCAGCTGACCTGTCCGGGCGTGTGGCTGTGCTCGCACGGCTATCTGGAGGTCACCATCAAGACCCTGGGCTACTACTTCCGCACCGGAGCGATGGAGCCACGCTTCCCGATGCTGTGCCACGACCAGTTCAAAATGGAGGGCTACTTTAAGAGCGTGGGCTCTCTGGAGGAGATGCACGAGTTGCTGAGGGCGGAGCAGCTACAGATCACCATCTGGCAAAATGGTCGTAGGTTGGCCTACTTCTTGGGGTCCCTCTCGGACGTGATGCAGCCCACAGTGCCGCGATTGAGTTGTGCCCACAGCTCTAATGTGCAGCTGCTAATGAAGGCAACGCCTGCGTTTCCGGGCATCCTGGCGCCCAAGGTAGAGCTGTCGGCGCAAATGACCACACAGGACCGACAGAAGGGATGCAGCTGCTCCAGCCTGAACTCCAGAAGACGTCCCAAAGAGGACTGGCGTCCTCCTGTCAATCGTCATGTGGAGAGCCGTTGCACGAGTCGTGTGGAGCATCCGCGCAAGCAACAGACCGTTTGCCATGCCAAGAAATCGAATTGTGACCACGGCGCTTGCAGCTATTCGGGGAGTGCATCGCCAGAGCAGCAACAGCAGCAGAACAGGCGGCGACTCTCCACCTGTTCCAGCAGTACACAGATTAGCAGCGTGAGCCAGAGCTCCTCTTTGACACACGGCAGCCACTCGTTCTGCTGCAACAGCAGCGATCCTGCAGATGATCACGAGAGCAGCTGCGACATTTGCCAAGCCTACAGACGCATCTTTTCCGCTTATTAAAGATTCACAGAGTACACAAACAAGTTTCTATAATCTAGATAGATTCTATGGGTATGGATTCTAAGCACATAAATCTTAAAGATACGCATTTAGATCGCTCTGAGCAAAGACCTGGACGATCAGTGTTATGATTAGATTGTAGGGAGCTGCTCGCTTCACCTCCTCTTCTGACAGTTTGTTCCTCAGCTGGATGCAGGAGCGGGCTATGCCGCGCAGTGTGCTGAAAACGAACGGCTCCAGGGGCAGATGCAGACAGACAAGGGTGGCGTAGAGCCAGCGGCCCAGCCAGGCATCCGTGACGAGCAAATCCACTGGTTCTTCGGCCTGCAGCCACTGGCTGAGCATCTCCAGCAGATACTCCAAATCGCTCTGGCTCAAGTGCAACAGGGTGCTAAGCAGTGGCAGCTTCTCGCGGCAGAATGCCTCCCACTTGACGATGTCAGAGGTCAGTGGCGGCTCCGCGGATTGGTCATAGCTGTGGGCCGTCAATTCTTCACGCATCGCGAGCACCTGGGCTCGGGCTGACTGGAAACTCTTTGCCTGCTCATTGCGCCATTCGGGCGTGGGCAGAAGGCATTTGTGTGGCGGCAAGGGCATCTGCAACGGAGGCTGCATCACTAACCATATTAAATGTATAATGGTTCTCTACTCACGCTCTCCAGCATCTCCAGGCCTCTATTGGAGACATCTTTCTTAATCTTTGAAGAGCGCTTGGTCACCACAGCGGGGCAGCGTTTGCGTTCGTACAGCATGTGCATCAGATACTCCTCGCCGGTCTGTGGCGGCAGTTGGGGATCGAAGCCGGCATCTGGCTCACGTATCTCCAATGCCTGCAGCTGAAAAGACTGCTCCTCCGCATCGTGCTCCATGTTTTATCACTTTTTAGTGATATTTGTATCAATTTTGTTGCATTAAAAAAAAATTAGCCCGCCTCCGCCGCAGTGTTACCTTAAATGTAGCCCACTTGAGCCCCCTGTATTTAAACAGTTCAACGACAGAGGCAAACGGTGGAAAATATTGCTGATTGTGAATTCTTCTTGTAGATCCATGCCATCTTTCTTCTGAACTTAAAAAAAAACCACGATATCTTGCATCTGAACTTAGCTAAAATTATTAAATTTTCATCATTTTCGGTGGAAAATGAAAATACCCCCTTGGCTTGCAATGGGTTAACTGTTCTCCGTCAAGGAATGGAAACCATATTCCCCGATTTTGATTTTCCGTCAAATATTACTAGCTATATAGATCCCTCAGCTTTGCCCACATAATTTTATATGATTGATTTATCTATTTTGTTTAAGAATAGCTACTTTTAAGTACTCCTTTTTATTGAATTGTTTATAAAACAAGGTTCAAACAAAAAAGATCAACAAAAATGTCCAGTGTTTTACATGGTAACTACATGGGAACTACACATTTGCTAGCGATATATCAAAAGTTTAATTGTTTCGGAAGATGGCGCCTTACATCCGTTATATTCGAATGTTTGAATCAAAGCTTTTGAAATGGTAAACATTCCTACGGTAAAGATAATTTCAGATAAGCATCAAATTCTATTATGGCTTTTACGACATTATTACATTCCATCACACTGCACTTGCACTTGCACTCACTCCCCTCCCCCACCCACATTTCAAGGTTACTCCGGAGACTTACTTTTGGAGACTTTTAAAAATCAATATTCCGCGTGTGTATAGTTCGAAGCTTTTCATTCATAAGTTTGCTTTCTGTATATATTATTCCTCCGCTTGTATTTCGCGTTGGTTGTACATACATACATCTACTATAAACGGTAGAAGGGGAAACGGACGCGACGCCCACACGGCTGATTGGAATGCGTAAAATGTTGTAGCAGTGTGTGTGTGTGGCAGTAAGTGTCTTTTTTGTTGTTGTGCGGGCTGGCAGTGTTTCTTCTCGTTTTGCAGCAGCAGCAGCCGCTGGTGGCTGGTGGAAATGAATGGCGAGGCGGATTGGTGGTGGTGGTGGGGTGTCTGGAAAAACGCTGACTCCGCTGTCGGTGGCGTCGACGGCGACGGCGGCGCTGCCCTGGCGTGGGCGTGCGATGTTTCCGCCCGAGCGTTATCAAAAATAAAACTGTATATAGACTTTTGTGGGTGTATGTACCGAAACACTTTGCTGCTGCTTTCCTTTTTTTTGGCCAGGCCAACAACTGACTGCTGCGTGGGTGTACGATGGGTGCTGGGGGATGCCACTGCCACCAATGCCACTCTGGTGGTGTGTGGCAAATTACAATATCCAAGTGGCAGGCAGGGAACGAGCGGCGAGGGACGAGGGTGTGGATGTGGCAGACACACTTTATGCAGACACCCACGCTGCAGCATACGCTCCACGTTCCATATTTGATTTACAAATTACTTGGGTCAACATAATTAACGGACCTGCCACGCACTCACACTCGCACTCACACTCGCTCACACACACGCACACACAGAAAATGCTGCAAAATTAAAAAAAAAAAGGTACAGATATTCGTACTCGTTCGAAACGGAAGTGCCCACGGAGCCACTGCTTCGAGAGATGGAGTTTCACATCCAACATTCAAGACTCAAAATTTTATTGAATCAATTGGCTGCAATTGGAGATTTTTGTTTTTGTATCAATTACAAGCGCGTCGGGTCGGTTCGGCCGGGAAAGCTCTTCTTTTTTGCTCTGAGAACTCTTCTCTCCGGCTCCCTCCGACTCACCCAATTGTCGCAATTAATTTGCCTTCAGCTTGACCCTGGAGGTCAAACACTGAGTCGCATTAACCTTCGTTAGCCCCCGTCCGAACGTCCGCCATTGAAGAAGGATGGAATGGAATGGAATGGGACGGCCGATGACAACGCGCAGTCGAGGTGGAGCGAATAAATGCTTAAAGCAGACAACATTTCTGGGCTTGAATGCTTTCTATATAGTGCAACAAAAATTCCATCTTTCAAGATGAAAGACCAAACCGAGGACTACAACATCAGTTCTGTTCCGAAAGCAAAGTGAGAGATCCGAATAGAGTGCATAAAGTACCATCATGATCATGCTTTTTAATAATTCAAGATAAATATCTTTCAAAAAACTCTTCCTCTCTTCCAAATAGAGTTGCTGTGGATAGTCGTATCTCCAGAAGTTGCATTGTCCCAAGCTAGTCCTTTATTATTGTTTAATTCTCAAGTCAATCCAATCAAATCTTCCTAAATGTTCCATACTATAGTTAAAACCAAATATTTCATTGCAGAAATAGCGACTAAAGGGTACGTCTCAATTCTCCTGCAAAAAAGGCTCTTTAAAATTCCATCTAAGCCCTAACTCATTCCACATTGAGCAAAGCCCTTCCCTTATCCCACACACCTTTCGGCTGGGACCTTATTTTAATCTCTTATTCGCCAAGCTCCCCTCGAATGACGTCAAAAGGATTTTGATTTTGGGCGTAGGTGTACCTTTTACGTATTTTATTTTATTTTCTCCTTCAAGAATACAACGTGGAGCCGGCCTACTGCTGCTGTTTCTGCTTCTGCTGCTTCTGCTGCTGGCAAAAGATGCGTCAGAGGGCAAAGGCAGCCAGAAGCAGCCCCGGTTAGGGGTAAGGTGGCATCCATTACCAACGTCATTTGGTTTTCAATTCGCTGAATAGTCAGTCATTTGGTCAGGTCCCGTACCTCCAGTTTCCAGTTTGTTTCATATCAATCGCAGGTCTCATGCGCGTGGGCGTCAAAGCTGAATGATTGTTTCGCATCTGCTGCTGCTCCCCACTCCCCACTCCCCGTCCCCCACTTCCACCTCAGCATATCTCTGCTGCTGCCTGGAACAACGTCATCCAAGTGGTCTCTGGAGAGGGAATATTTCATCGTTTCTTTTGGGATTTCGCCTGGTCAAACGTCAAACGCATGTCGATCGTCAAGACTCGTGGCGCCCACAAACATCCGCTGGCGCGTGAATCACTTCACAGAAAATCTGTTTGGGGGCTGGACACCAAAAGAATTAGTGGGAAGTGTGTGTGTGTACGCGACAATTCTGTCTCTGATCCGCAAAACGGAAACACGAATACACGATAATCGAAAGGGGCTCCGCTCCCCGTCCTAATCCCTTTCGAGTTGTTTTAGGTCAGTAAAGCGAGTCGTGTGGGAAAATGATAGGCGGTTCCAACTCAGAGATGGAATGAGGTCCATGATATACATACATATGTACATACATAAGTACATATGTATATCATATATAAATACTAATGTTCATGGTAAAATCCATTGTAAAATGAGTTCTTAGGGTTATTCATAAGGGAACTCAAAGTCATACGTTTCCCTTGAAATGCATAGATCATGGGATCGGATCGGATCGGCTCGATTGATGACCCAATTTTACCCAGAACTTGCGTCACTCTTGGGAGATCATCAATATAGGAAGTGAATGACTATACGAGTATTGCACTGAGTGCAATATACTACATATAGGAAGTATTCATCAATGACGATAATCAAAATAAATGCCGTCGTCACCTGAGACATCATGGCGAAATGGCACTCAATTCATTTTTTCGATTAAGGCTCTCAAAGATTGTACAGAGATAATGCGGCAAGTGATTCATTGACCAATGGTCCCAATAGCCCCCAGTTGGGTATTCCCTTTTCAACACAACAAATTATACTTTGACAAGTGCGCGGCACTTGGACTTTGAACTTGTGGGGCGAAGGGGGCTCGCTCCAAGGACTGACCTTGGCTTCTACCTGCGGGTGAAGGTATCAGGCAGAGGAAAAGCCAAGGCCGGGCGGGGCCCTGGGACATGCGAGGAGTTAAACCTAGACGCCACCTACAAGCTACATACAGTCGCCCCCCTAATCTCAAGGCGACCCACGCGTTACGTCCTGGGTGTCATGCACCTACCACTGCCCCATCCTTCAAATCGAAAACCCCATCGAAAATAAGCAACCCTCTGCCCCGCCCAAGTGCGTGGGTGCTGCTGTTTCTCTCCATCTCGCTCTTCCACGCTGCTTCTGTGGCACGGACTTGGGCAACGATTTTTGGATGAGAATTTCATTCATGAAAATTCTCCTCGAAAGTCGCACTTTCGTTGGCGCTGTGTGTGGGGCCGTTGTGTACATAAAGAGCACGTTGGCGTTTACCTAACGGTATATACATACATACATACATATGTACATATAATGCTGCCATTTCTGCCAGCGCAGGCGCTGAAACTTTTGTAGTGGAGAAATTTTTTCACGCGCGCTGTCCACCGCGGGGTATCCTTGAAACGGTCCTTCTATATGGATGCCCTCTGTTTTCGTGGGTGTGTGTGTGTGTGTGGGTGCTGGGTTTTGTGTGCAAATATCAGGGTCATGGTTATAAAATTAAACATTTCGTAGAGTCTCCAAAATAACGGGAGCGCTCCAGCCAAGCCTCGGTGGAGACGGGGGAGCTTTGGAGCTGAGCAAAATACTTCATTGATGATTCGCCGCTGGCTTCCCTAATTCCTTATCTCGACTGTACAATCGCAACTCTCTCAGCGGCCGCCCGCCCCTCCACCCACACCCACATGTACTCTGCCTGCCCTGCTCCATTAACTTTTGCATTCAAGTAAAGTATTTGCTTCGGCTCGGCTCTCACGCTCCAACTCGAGAGCGGGAGACAGAGAGAGTTATAGAGAGAGAGAGAACGGAAAGTCGGGCTAGTTTTGCTGGCGAAATTCAATGAATCAACATGGGGGCACACACGAACAGGAACACGCATACCAATGCACGAAAATATCAATGAACTTTACACAAAACTTTTGTGAGCGTGTTCGGGAGCGAGCGGCGTGTGAATAGACAAAACAAGAGAGTGAGAGAGGAGCATAGTGTAGTGGAAGAGGTTGGTGTGGGAGCCAGAAAGCGAGTGTAGAGAATGCCACTGGAGGGCAGGTGAGAAATTTGCAACGGAACCTGATTAGGAGCACGAAAGAGGGGAGGAATGCAATCTCATTGATTAATTTTAAAAGTAGCAATAATTGTAATCAATGTCAAAATATTTAAAAGATTTTCAATTACAGTTACAGCGAATTTCCTAGCGGGCTGCCAGTGCACGGGCTTTGTTCACCTTCTTGTAAAGTTGGAGAGAAAACCTATGCCTGCTCGCTCCCACTCACTATCTCTCCACGTATTCCCACTCATCGCGACTGTGTGTGTGTGGGTGCTTCTGCGGTTGCCTGTTCTATTGCTGTGTGTGCTTGTGTGTGTAAGTGAGAGAGAAGAGAATCGAGTGAACAAAAGGGTATTACCACAACGAGGTGGCGACGTGACGTTTTCCAGCAACACAAATCTCTCATGTTGCTAGACTCTCTTTGTGCTTATACCCCATGTGTTTACAGTTTTTCAGCAACATATGTAATGCCCTTGGAAAGAAGATATTATAGAAGTTACGATATATTTGTCAACTCGTGCCCCATAATATATACGTATGCATAAGAGATATATATATATTTAGAATAGTTTCTACGATTTATTATATTTACTATACATACTATACTACAGAACAGATCGATCAGAAAAAAATTTTAATTTTAAATCCATTGTCATTCATTGGGAGGCAGATTGAAAAACAAAATTTTACCTGAGTCAAAGTCCTCGATGCTGGCATTCAGCTTAATTAAATTTAGTATTATTTCCAATTTTGCTAAGGTTATTTTAATAATATATAATATTAATAGAAGGGTACCACTAATTTCAGAAGATAGGGTATATAAACTCCTATAACATACTTTGCAACGGAACGCAAAAATGAGTCTGGGCTGAGCTATGGAAAGGTACGGCCCACAGGCAAAAACAGCGCAGCAACATTTAAAAAACCAACGCACATCACCTCACCGTGTTTGATCAAGAATATGCTGTGGCTGTTTGCAAGCAATGTTTGGAATGGGGTGGCTGCACGTTGCGTGCGTTGAATTTTCTGGGCCGTTGGGCCTGTTGTCCATACCTTGTTTTTTCCTCAGCAACACACGTTTGTTGCCGAGCAACATTTTTAGCTACATTTGAAGGCGGGCGGATTTGAAAGAACGGCCTTGCCGCCCCAAAGTATCTCACAAATGTATCTCTCACATGTATCTCGGCCTCGCGGAAGGAAACAACAGACAACGGAAAGAAAAATAGTGTCGAGTGTTGTTTCTGAACTCAGAAAAGTCCGTTGATATATCCCACAAAAATATCCATTGATATATTGGCAAACGAAATATATTATCAAACAAAAAAATATATACATATACCAATTGAACATACCTACAGCGCGCTTTGATATCGCTCCACCGCTGTCGTCGTCAGGTTGTTGGGGCTCCACCACGCACACGTTTAGAATCGGTGTATCGGAACGGGCCGTTCGTTCGGTCTCCACACACTCATACAGCTGCAGCGATACATACATACACACGGTTGTGATTTGGCGCGGACCTGTATGCGTGATGAATGTGAAGCCTACAACAAAATAAAAGAAATCAGAGTAAAAGAAAACAGAATACAAAACACACAGAAAACGGTGAATGTAAAACATTGAATATTCCATTTTTGTTAAGTTCTTAAATGAAACAAAACTAAAGTCTCTTTTGGATTTCCCGTATTTTTTTTCGTGTGTGTGAGTGTGTTTGTGTGCGGGAGCAAACCAGAAAGGGGAACAGCAACAAAAGCAAAGCAGCAGCAGAAGAAGAAAGAACCAGAAAGAAAGAAAAAAATGTGCGGCAGTTCGAAGAAGAAGCCAAAGCAGATGATGTAAACTTTGTTGTAACCAAAACTTGGACAGAGAGCGGGACAGCGAAAGAGAGAGAGAGAGAGAGAGAGAGTGAGAAACGAACTCTAGAAAAGAACACTCAGACGGATTTTTCTTCCCCCCACCTACTACTACTGCACCTACTCCTCCATCGACTTCAATTTTTTTTTGTGAGAGTGCAAGTGTGTGAGAAAGAGAGCTTTCTACAATGCCAGAAACGGAGCACGAAAGCTGCAGCAAAGAGTGGCTCCAGGTCCAGCTGCGCTCTCTGGACGCCAAGGAGCTGATCCTGCTCGACTGCCGCGGCTCCCACGAGTACAGCGAATCGCATATCCGTGGCGCCGTCAATCTGTGCATTCCCAGCATTGTGCTGCGGCGCCTTGCCACCGGCAAGATCGATCTGGCCTCCACCATCAAGTCGCCGGATCTGAAGGATCGCATTCAGACGGGCTACAAGCTCTGCCTCTTCATTCTCTACAACGGCGAGGGCGTGGCCGGACAGCAGGATGTGGCCGGAGCCGGAATGGGGGCCAACGATTCGATTATCAATATCTTGCACCGCCGCCTCAAGCAGGACGGATGTCGCGTGGTCGCACTGCAAGGTGAGTTCCCCCAAAGCCACACCCGCACCCTCCACCGCCCTGCGCCCCCATTAATCATCCACAGACATTCCATTCCTAGAAGTATTATTTATTTATGTTTCCCCCCCGGCACTGCCTATTCCCATAAATAAACATTTTCGTGGATTCCTCTTATTTTTTCCCCCTGTTTTTTTTTGTGTTTTTTTTTGCGGAAAAGAACGTCCGATCCGATCCGATCGGATCGGATCTTATATGCCGGAAGGGGGGAAAGGAGAAATTCTATAAATTGCTGAAAGATGTAATTCGCACTGCTCTCCGTTGATAAGCGGTCTGACTGCCTGCCACATATAGACATACATAGACACAGATTAGAACCCGCATATATGTACGTGCATACATACTTATGTATGTGGAATATGCAGCACACCCAGATCACGACTTTCTATACTGCCCCGTCGGCGTCTGGGGATTTAAATAGATTTCACCTTCTTGAACTTGTTTTCGGTGTGTGACACCGCGACTCGTTTTGATTGATGGAACCATTATATAAGAACACAAATTTATGAATATGTATAGACGATGAGGAAATGCCACTGATGATATGATGATATGTATTTATGGAAACATCATATCATACATATTTGTGGGTATTCTGCAATGCAATGCACAAAGTAGACTCCCTGAAACTTATTTTTTATGCACCGATACAGGAATCTCTACAAGAAGTTTTCCTTATCGGAAATCCGCAATCCATATTCAAATTCGCAATAATTTTATTCCAGCGAGCGGAGAACCGATTTATGCAGAAATGTATTTATAAATATATTTTTGCTGCTGCTGCTTCTGCAGCTGCTTCTCCTTCTTTAGGTTCCATATCAATTAAATTATATTTAAATTAAGGGGGAGATTAGGGAAGTCGTAAATAAAAACAAAACAAAACAAAGCAAAGCAAAGCAAAGAGCTTTTCCCACTATTGTTGACTAGGTTTCTGTCTGTGTCTGTTTGTGTCTATGTGTCTGTGGGTCTGTGTATTGTTCCCATAGATCTCCTCTGCGTTCTGTCATTCATTCATTCAGAAAAATGTCACTGGGCTCTGGAGACTCCGACTCTCATGGTTCAAAGCCATACATATACAGACAAAGAATCAGATACATACAGTACATACATATGCATGTACATATATTCCATATATATTATGTACATCATTATCTGACTTGACTGACTGACTGACTGTGTGGCTTCATTTTTATTTTTATCACTTCAATTTCCGTTCTCCCACAAGCAAACCCCCCAATTGGGTGTGTGTGTATGTGTGTGTGTTTTGTACCCCCTGGGGCTCTAACCCCCATACACAAAAGCTGCTCAGATCCGGCGTACACACGTTCGCTGCTCCGTCTGCTCTGTCTGCTCTTTTCTGCTCCATTCAGAGCGTCGTGTCGTCTCTGCCAATATCGCAAATTGACAATAGAGCATCCCATACCCAACCCCTTCCCCATTCCCCTGCCTTTTTGTTTGTCGATTTCATTTGATGGAAACAGAACTGGAACTGGAAAGGCCAACAAATTAGCATAACATAAATCCACATACTACTAGACGTCTATCGTGTCTATGACGTCAAGAACACACAAAAATGGTACAGGACTGTACAGAAATCTACCTGTGGCACACACACACACACGCACACGCACGCACAAACATACACACACAGGTAATTAGGAAAATTGTGTCCCGGAAAACGATTGTTTTACGACTGGGCAATACCATGGAAACACCCGAGATGATCCGAAACAAAAACCGATCCGATCCGATCCGATCCTCTTGACATTTGCCCAAAAAGAAAACGAACAAAGGAACAAAGGAAGAAATGAGGAGGGGACAGTGGGAGAGCGTGAAAATCCTGTGTCACCTTTTAAAGGATTTTGCCTTCGTTGAAGTGTTCCTTAATGATCGTCGAAATGGTAAATGAATTTTCTCTGCTCTTCAGTCTGCTGAATGGACGGATCTGTCCTGTCGGTTATCTATCTATCTACACATTTATGGATGTACATGCATGCATATATTCCAGCCTTTATGAAATTTTCCACAAATGCAATAAAAGCAATTTCACAATTTGCCAAAAACGAAACGAATATGGTTTCCCGTATGTGTATGTACATAAAATGTTTGCTGCGGTTTTATCTTATCGTTGGGTGGGTCCGGTGGGTCTCTGAAGAGGGGACCGGGACCCAGAATGTGTTTTATGGCATGCAAATGCATAAAAAATAGCTGGGCGGGTGGGATACGAGGAGGAAGCATTGTGGCGACACAGATACAGATACAGATATGTATGTACGTGGCAGAGTATTTCGGTTACATCTATCTATAAGTATTGGATATGGTTCGACTTTGGAATGAACGTTTGTGCCAGGAAGTGGCAGAAGAATACTATAGATAAGAATGGTTGCCAGGCCCGTTGAACCCATTGAATAGGATACTCCATTAATCACATGAACCATTTTTAAAGTATAGACTAGAGCGTATACATACCCTCCGAAGCCTTGTAATCATCTTTTTCATCTGCTAATGCTCCACTCTCTTTCTGTTTCTCCCTTTCTCCCTCTCTTTCTCTCGCTTACATCCTATTTTCTTTGTTCTGTTCAAGTTTGAAATACATATATCCCCCTGTAAGAGGCTTAGGGTGGACTAAAGTTTCGCGAAAAACTGTGGTCCAGTCCTTGTTGTACCCATCAACTTTTTGCCGCAAGAAACCGCCCCATGTACCCCCAGCCACCCCCTTGTGGCAAGGGAACTATATGCCGCTAATTAACCTTGAAATTCAATCAAGTCCAGGCAATTATGGGGCTCTTTGTGGCCTGTCCCGTCCCTGGGATGCTGCTGTTACGACCAGATTCCGGTTCCAGGACCAGGACGATGAAAACATTATCAAGTCCGTGGGGCGGGGGGGAGCGAGGGGGGGAAAATGCATAATGCATGTCGCTCGGATTGGCTCCAGTTTCCAGCTGATGTAGAATTCACTTTAATTAAATGCCACTTTGTATGCATTTCTCGGAATTAAAACAATTAAGATGGGGCCAACTAGGGCAACCATCCAGCCATGCATATAGGAAAGGCAGATATACATATATATTACATACTATATATATATACATATATATACTTATATGTGGTTCTAAAAAGCATTATGTATTCCATAAACTAAGCATTTCCGTTGACAGAATTTAATTCAATTAGATTTAGCAGAGTTTCAAACCATTTCATTCCATTCCACTGATCGGGCGCTCTCTTTTTTTGGAGAGTGGAGAGGGAGTCAATGAACGATGCAGTTTCGAGAGAGTGGTGTCTGTCTGCTCGTTTTTGTCTCTCTTCCTCTCTTCTCTCTCGTGTTTTTATGGCCAGAGGCGGATACAAAGCTCTCTACACTGTCCGCTGTCCGTCTCCACGTTGATCGCTGGACCGTCTTCTTGCGGCGACCCTTTTATAGAAATTGAACTCGAGCTGCTGCTGCTGCTGCTGCGCCTGCGCCATAAAAAACCACTTCAACTCGAGCTCTGGCCACCGCATTTCCACGCATTGCATTGCATTGCATTGGAGTACGGCTTTTTCCCCAACTGGCTTTTCTCTCCTCTACATATTTGTGTGTGGCAGCCACATGGGAGAGTTGTTTGCCTCATTTGCTGTTTTTAACGAATTTGTTGAACAAGTTTTGTTTTTTTCTTTGGTTTATTTTTTGGGCCTAAGCAATTTTCACAATTTTTTCCATCTGCGAGTGAAAATCGGTCGCAAACACGTGGCATCTCCATCTCCCAACATCATCATCAACCAACCAAGGCCACAGCCGAATCGACCGAATCTCTCATTACGATTTCATGATAATTCATCACAAAAGCTAGTGGGCTCCCATCCACGGCTTCCCCTCGCCGCTCACTCCGCTGCCCGATGCTGATGGCTGCTGCCTCATTGAGGGGCAACAGACTACTCTGCCAACTGGTCTGCCTTCACCGACAGAAAACAGAAAAACAACAGCAACAGAAATAACTGAGAGAAACAGTTGGCCCGATTGCCCCACCAAAACCACCTACGTGCCAAAAGTCGCTGGGCTCCAAATTTGTTCAACTGAGATTCGTTGCACAGTGGGCAGAAGCGGGTCAATAAGTGGAAATACTAAATAGAGCTTTCGTTCAAGTTTTGTTCCATTAAAGTGTTGCTCTTCTAGCTCCCACCTGTCCCACTGTGCCCACAGTTGTTGTCTTTGTCGTAGGCCCACAGAGAGGGAGAGACAGAGAGATAGTTGGACATCTCTCTCCTCCATTGGTGTTGGCGTCAGCATCTTATAAAGTAATCAGCGAGAGAGGGACAGAACGATGGGAGTAGGGGGAGCCACAGGGGAAGGAAGACGACGGTAAGAACAACAAGCAGGGCGTTGGACAACAGTTAGAGCTGCGTCGCGTCTGCGAATGCAGTGGGGAGAGGGAAGAGAGAAGCGGAGGGGTGGACTGATCGCTGCAGCCTACGGCCTACGGCCAAAATTTGTTGTTGCTGTTGCAGCAGCAGTAGATTTGGGTCAAAGTTTGTGTGGGCTTTAATTAAGCAGGCGTTGAGTAGACGCGAGTGCCCGCAACGACGGCGTCGACGACTAACTAACGGCGAGTCCCACATCTAAGCCATTTGGCATCGATTCCGATTCTGCGAATGGCAATGTGACGGTGGGGGCGGGGGGGCTCTCTGCCAATGCCTGTGCAGAGGCTGTGCAAATATTTGCAGCAATACTACTAGCAATAACAACAATGACTTCCGGTCAGATTATGTGTGGGCGAGACCCGCCTTCCACTCGCTGTCTTTTCTGCCCCTCCATCTTCCTCTCCCTCTCCCACCCGTTTGCTTTGTCGCCTGCATACCTCAGCGTCCAAAGAGCGGAAGTTTGCAGGGCGCGCATTTAACACATAAACACCAACAGAGGAATACTATCCTACTCGGGAGTCGCACACTTGATACCCTAGCAGATTGATCGCCCTTACGGCTGC